ATCAAATGATTCAGCTGATTCATTTTTGTGCAGTGGTAATGAAAGTTGCCATGGAGTGAGTCAGAAATCCATCCGATGCTCTATGAACAAACAGCCAATGTAAATCAAAACCAATGTACCAAACTACACACAGAAACAATGGAAAGACATGCTGTTGGTGACATGTTTTGGGACTAGGCAGCACTTCATTGTGATAACTGAGAAGATTGGGTTCTGTAGCAGAACTGACATCTGCCTTAGACCATATTGTAAGCACAGCTATCTGTCTGCCGAATTTAGCAAAAAATCAAGCCACTGATTGAGTGTCCAGAATCATGAAGACCCCACTCCCAAGACATGTAACTCAACACATAAGCTCATTCATAAGTCCTTATTGAGTTGACGTGGGTGTATTTGAGCAGGCAATACTAAACCACAAGGTGCTTGAGTAATTCTTCAAGTTCGTCATGTAAGTACATTGGAAAAGTAAAAAAGGAAGCATTTTGGTGACTATGTGTCATTCATAAAGGGAAATGAGAAAAGAGTGTTTGGCTTGAAGTGATGAGTCACCCAGTTGTGGAGATCAGAGCTACTCAGCTCCAGTCCAGCCCACACACTGACCCCCAGCTCTTGCCTGCACTAACAAAACTCTCTCTGTGGAGACGGAGGCTGGGGAAGTTCTCAGCATTTAAACAATGACAGTATCAGAACAGGAAATAAGGAAAGGATCGGAGGCAGCTTTGAAGTTTACGAGTGCTGGAGTGTGGAGGGAAAGTCTAACCACTCTGCCAATATCATTAATCACAGCACTCCAGAGAACAAACAGTATTTTTTAACACTGTAAAATACTGTTTTCATGTCACCCAGCAATATATATGTACATTTTTATAAAAGGTCTCTTCAAAGAGACTGCATCAGTGGAAAAGCCCCTAATTAGACAGATGGATTCTGCAACTAATAAGAATAAAAGAAAAAAAAACATTGCCATGTCTTTGAGGCTCAACCAATCCTAGTCTTAATTTGACTCTACTGTTTGCAGTACAGTAACCACAGTGACACATGGCAGATCTAATCTGTTAAGATTAAAATTCCAGTGAATTTATCTCCTCCACACTTTCGCTCACAAACACGGTTTAAAGTGTGGAGGAGATAAATTCACTGGAAGTGGCCAGATAAGCCCTGATAAGAGCAGCAGCAGAAGTTTAGCAGGGTCAGATTACAAGGGGGCTCAGCTCCCACACACATCGTACAGTTAGGCCTAGTGCGAGACAGACTCAGACTAATTGGGCTTTGTGTGGGGCTCAGTCAGGCTGGAACAGAAAAAGGCCCTTCCCCAAACTGTTCCAACAAAGTTGGAAGCATACAGTTGTGCAAAATGTCTTAGTATGCTGAAGCATTAAGACTCCTTTAACTGGAACTAAGGCTCCTAGGCCAACCCCTGAAAAACAACCCCATAGCATTATCCCTCCTCCGCCAAACTTTACAGTTGGCACAATGCAGACAGACAGGTAACGTTCTCCTGGCATTCGCCAAACCCAGACTCCAGATAGAGAAGCGTGATTTGTCACTCCACAGAATAAGTTTCCACTGCTCCAGAGTCCAGTGGTGACGTGCTTCACATTACTCCATCTGATGCTTGGCATTGTGCTTGTGATGTAAGATTTGCATGCAGCTGCTCAGCCATGGAAACCCATGCCATGAAGCTCCCGGTGCACTTTTTGTGCTGATGTTAATGTCATAGGAGGTTTGGGAGTGTTGGCAACTTTTATGCACTATGTGTCTCAGCACTCGGTGACCCTACTCTGTAACTTTACATGGTCCGCCACTTCATGGCTGAGTTGCTGTGGTTCCTAAACACTACCACTTTTCAGTAATACCACTCACAGTTGATCGTGGAATAAACTTTGCAAACTTGCTTGTTGCAACGATGGCATCCTATTACAGTACTACACTCGAATTCAGTGAGATCTTTAGAATGACCCATTCTTTCACAAATGTTTGTAAAGGCAGACTGCATGGCTAGGTGCTTGAATTTATACACCTGGGGCAATGATAAAAAGGTGTGTCCTAATACTTTTGTCTATATTGTGCATATTCCACTAACATTGCTGATGAAAAAAGCATAATTCAGCTGAGGGATCTCCTCCAAAACAGATGGAAATAGCATTTTATGGCTGCTGTGAAAGGAGGTTAAACAGGATGTGAGCAGGTGTGGTTGGCACACGCCGCTGGAGTAATATTGCCACCCTGTGGAACTCACAAAGAAAGTTTTTAAATCATCAACCTCTGTTATATTTTTGATTGAAACAGTCAAGTGATTTTTAATTTATGCTTGATTAGAGTTCAGTCATTTTCCATTATCAAGACTTAATCAAATGTATTCAGTAAAGCACAGCTGCTACCCACTGCATTCACACTGTGGGATGTTGAATTTTCCATTCTGTACCACAACACAGGGAAATGATACTTCATATTCTCATCACCTCTTCATCTCAAGTGCTTGTTATTTGTCATGCGAGCATTCCTTCAGGTGGGTGTAAATGCATCTTGCACGCAACTTAATACCATAGGTGGGGCTGATTGTAATTATACCCCAGCAACAAAAAATAGCATCAAAAGCGTTCATTCAAGAGATGTTTGCATTTCTCCAAGTGACACAAAAGACTGTGAGGTCATTGCAGGGCCTTCCATAATCAGTTATAGGGAGAACGCCCATAAACTGAGTAATGGCACCACTTTGTTGAGGTTGCAGATCCCAGCAGTGTGTTAAAGTAAGAAAAATATCTTTCATTGCGGCACTAATTCATTTTGCTAAATGCTACCTGTGAGTGTCACTGTTCTGGTGAGGACGTCTTGTTTCAACTAGTAGCTGCCTGGAGTTACATAAAATGTTTTAATGAGGTCGTCATGAACGACAACATGCAGGAAATCTGGGGGAACAAAACAAGCTGCATCCTCAGCCTGGTGTACAGCGTTGGTCCAAGGCACCTAACTGGTCTTACATGCTCTTAAGGTAGCACAGTAGTTAAAGGTGCCAAAAAGGGTTTTTCCATGATGCTATAGAAGACCCATGTTTGGTACCCTAAAAAACCTTTCAATGGATGGTTCTGCTAATAAACTTTTTTGGTGAAGAACCTTGAAGTGTGAAGAACCTTAAAGTTTGTATAAATCGCCTTATTAGTTATTTTTTTATTTAAAAAAAATGACGCTAAGAAGCTGGGAGGGTGAATTCTAGCACATACTTCCTCAAAGGCACATGAAGCCAGTCAATGCATCCTTTCTAAATGGCTTTACTGCAATGCCATTGAAAAGCTCAACATGTTTGGAGGAGAACCCAATTTCTGTATTTTAGTACATTTTTATATCATGCAAACCCAGTTTCAAAAAAAGTTAGGACAGTATGGGAAACGCTAATCAAAGCAGAAAGCAGTGATTAGTAAATACTCTTTGACCTGTATTACATGGAAAATGCCTAGGAAAAGCCATGGAAAAAGTCTAGCACCTGCACTCTCTGACTGCGCAGCCATGCTGTTGTAATACATACAGAATGTGGTTTGGTGTCGTCAAGCTGAAATAAGCATGGACGTCCCTGAAAAAGACGCCATCTAGAAGGCTCCAAAGTGTGTTCAGTGTTAATGGTGCTTTCGCAGATGTGCAGGTTGCGTGCTCCTCATACCATGACAGAACCTGACTTTTGAACTTTAGGCTGGTAACAATCTGGATGTTTTTTGGATTTTCTATGGATTTTCCTCTTTGGCCCAGAGAACATAATATCCTTTATTTCCATAAACAATTCGAAAGGTGGACTCGTCAGACCACAGCACACATTTCCACTGTGCATCAGTCCATTTCAGATGACCTCAAGTCAGCAGTGTTTCTGGACGCTGTTGATACATGACTTACACTATGACAGGTACAATGTTAACTTGTCTTTGTGGATGCAGTGATAGATGATGTTTATTGATAACAGCTTTTGAAATATTCTTGAACCCATTTGGTGATATCATCACAGAAACATGCCTGTCGGGTCGAAGGTAATGGGCTTTCATTTGTGGTTTTTGGCCTTGATCTTTATGCACAGGGATTTTTTCTGGATACCCCAAATCTTTTGATAATGTTATGCACAGCAGAGGGTTAAATATTAAAAATGCTTGCAATCCCTCACTGAGGAACAACATTATTAATCTGTTGGGTTTTATGCTGATGCATTTTTTGGCAAAGTGGCGAGCCTTGACCCATCCTTGCTCATAAAGGACCAGACCTTTCCTGGCTGCTCCTTTTGTATCCAAGCATAATTGCATCACCAGTTTAAGATGTTTTTTGAGCATTTTGTAGTGTTTCCAGTGTTAAATTGCCCCTGTTCCAACTTTTTTGGGACATGCAGCAGACATCTATTTCAGAATGAGCATATATTAACAAAAAAAAACAAAAAAACAATGAAGTTGATAACTGATCCGTTTTTATTTTTTTATCTTCACATTTTATCTACTGTCCTGACTTTTGTGAAATTGGATTTGAATGAAATGTTGTAGTAATACTTTTGTTTCATTGTGAAGTTTTGGTTGGACACCAAAGTGTTAAATTCTTAAACCGCCCAACAGAATATTGTCCAATCAGAATGTTTTTTCCAGTCCTACCCATTCAGAGAGAGAGACCAAGGCCAGTTATGCTCTATGACTCCCAGCCATGGAACTTTTATTTTTAAGAATGCATCTCAACAGACCTCATCCAACCCATGAAGAGCTTCATAAATAGCTGATGATGTGGATCAGGTAGGTTGAAGTAGGGAATATTTGAAATTGGTCATAAGACTGTGCTATAAAAAATGAAGTTCAAGCCCTGCAGCTAGCACATGTAGCCTCCTGGTGGAGAGCCTTCCTCGGTGAATGCATGAACAAAACCACAGCCTTACTCGGGCAGAACCTGGAGGAAGAACTCATTTTTGAGATTTATTGCGCTACCCTGAGGAATCATTTGAAAAGAAATCAAAGTGACAAAAGTAAACAGTAAATCAGTTTTCAAAAAAGTCAGTGACAGTGCTGAGAAGGTCCTAGTAGGGAGGAATGTTAAACATAATGACAAGTATGAGATTACATCATTAAAATTCTTGTAAAAGAATTGTAGAAGAAAAATAAACTGCACATGTCAGACACCTGTATCAAATGAGAAAATAAATGCCTTTTTAGTGATTTTTTTCATAAACTCATCAATCATTCATAACACACTTCAATTGACTTTGTGCTGTGGTCAACATTGAAATAAAGTTAAAATACAGAAGGCAACAGTGGCTGGAGTCCAGACATATTTGTCAAGTGTCAGTACACTTCCCCATGTTTTATAGCAACTGGGTGTTCACTACTGAAATCTATCCAACACTGAATTGATTGTTTTACAGGTGCCAAGATGTCTGTGAGATAAAATTGGGAAAGCAATCACACTTTTCATAGTGATCAAGAAGCATTTTGAAATGCTTTTGCTATTTTTTAAAAGGTGTACATGAAGCTGTAAAGCCTTATCTTCTATCTTCCATCTGGCCTCAGTGGTAACAGTAATCTTCAATGGCTACATAGTACATAATAAATATTAACCGTACACTCTAACTAACATACTTCCTCATGCAGGACATGCAAATGCCAAAATTCTGAGAACAGCACAAACAAAAAGAAGAGAAGAAAAAACCCATGCTGGCGTGTATGCCCACAATTCCCAAAGAGGCCACATAGAAGAAACAACAAACAGAGATGATCAGACCAATCTATTGTCTAGCAGTCTACCAGCTTGCAGCTATGTGGAGGATCCCTGTCCCGGTTCCAAAAGCCTGAGCACTTCAGATGCCTCTTTGGATTCAACAGATGGAGCAGCCATCTTCAACACCACTTTGACTTCACAGTGGACCTTCTTAGTAAAAGCTCAGACCGGAGCGTTGTTCCCGCTGCGGAAACGGGTCAGAAAGCAAGATCCCTGGGACAAAAATAAGAGCCAGTATCAATGAAACCATCTTTCAGCTCTGCAAAAGACTCTCCCACAGGCAATCCTAAGGAAAAGCAAGCATGCTTGGTGACTGTTCACCTGTTAGTGAAACTACAGCAAACAAGTGAATCCTGCTAGTTCACAGCAAACAGAGGAAAGAGTAAATGCATTAATGAATATAAAAGTCAGATTCTTCACTTTGTGACAGCAGCACCTTTAAACATAAAGGTGGCAGAAAGGGTTCTTTGGAGCAATGGTATAGAGGAATCACTTTTAGTTCCCTAAAGAACCTTTTAAGGAAAGCTTCTCAACAGAAACAGTTTTGTAAATGAGATGTGCGAAAATTGTTTTTTTCCCCTATAACCGAAAACCATTTAGTAACCTTTCAACTTTTAACAAGAAGGTTAGCAAGGCTTTGAGCAAGGTGTTGATAAAAATCGGCAATAAGATTACCAAGACTATGGCTTGTCTAGATCAGTGTCTGTAAACAAAGTTCTGCTTTATTCTTTAGACTGTTTTATTCTGTGGTTTCTGGACATATTCAAAACATTATGCCGTCACAAAGTGAAGTTAGGTGGTTAGTCTACAGCAAATATGCTAAGCATATGTTGAGTTCTTCTTGAGAGCTAGGCTAGGGGTGAAGCAAAAGGCACTCAGCACACTACAGCCAGTGAGCCTCTACTTACACGGTAGCACTCAGCTTGCCGCAAAACTTATTTCTTCTTCCCTCCTAATGACATATTTTCTGTTTTTTTCTTCTGTGCCTCATTGAACAAAAGACACACCTTTATGTTAGCACGGAATGAGCAACATGGCACCTGGATGCTAAATTGTACTTTCTAGAGAGGACCAGTCACAAATCCATGGCCTCATAAACAAAGCTGACGTGAAATATGTGGAGCTAATGTTACAAAACCCTTGTTTAAGAGTTTTCGCCTTATTACAAGAGAGGAAATGCTCATAGAAGTAGTGATTCGATACTGGACCATAGGCCACAGTGAGCATAGTGTACTAAAAGGATGGCTAATGGCTATGAATGAAGGTAGCAGAGGAGAGTCTACCTCGGTCATGGCATCATCAATCTGCTTGAGCTCTTCATAGTGATCCCGTGAGTCGCGCAGAGGCTGCACCATGATTTCCTCAATCTGCGGGAAAAGCTGGACAAATACACACACATACAACATATGCTTATGACCACAGGAGAAACCACACCATCACTACTGGTAGGCAGATTGTAAATTAAGGTTTTTCATGCTAACATTAGGAATGGGCAATATGGCAACACGGCAATAACGTAATACTAAAACAACTCAAGACAGAGTTGATATAAAATACACATCATAGAGGTTGGCTAAGTTAGCTAGCACATTAAAACAGACACAATGAATCAGCAAAACAGTAGTACCAAACAAAAACTATTAACTATTAAACTAATGAAAAAAATAATAGTTACCATTCAGTCAGTTCTACCCCTGGCTAACATCATTCTGATTTAGATGCAAAATATCAGTTAAACTGGCTGCTAAACAATGAATTTCTGCATAATTTAATGGTTGAGATGTAAAAATGAGGTTTGATATGAAATGCTGCTTTCTACTAAAACTTACTGACCCTGACTACTGATTTTTTTACGATGGTGGTGATAGGAACCGGCGGTTGTGATGTCTACAATGCAAATATAGGCATTTTATTTACTATCCAAACAGCCAGTGAATCTACATGTCTTTATATTTTATTATATGTAATGATGATAACCATAATGGTAAAATAGTGGTTAATCTGAATAAATAAGTTTCTTTTGGGGACTATTTTGCCTTATAACCCTGCATGTATCTCTTCACACATTTTAGGCCGAACACCTTATATCAAAACTCATAATCATAAAACAATGTCTTATCAGGTAATGTATTCATAACCATTTGGTGTAACAGCTTTCTATAAAGTACCTTTTAGAAGAATTAAACAATTTGGATGTCTGGTTCCCATCCCATCGTGGTACATTAACAGCTAATCAAACCACTCTGAATGATTTAGTTACATCTTAACATCTTACATCTGAAGAAATGTTGAAAAACTGATGAAATTATCTTTTAACTCGCTTGCAGTAAGACACTGGTCCATACCTTCATGACTGTTTCAAACATGGGAATGAGGACGAATTTAATGAAGCCAATCTGAGCGGTGGGCTTGGTCACTTTGTCTCTGTCCATAAATGGAGCGACAGGCAGACCCTCAGACTTCTCTCTGTCACTCTGAGCAGAAACACACAGGTTAATTTACCAACATTGACTCAAATATAAAACCACTGCAGGTGCATGAGAGCAGACTGCACTGACCTGCATGAAGTACTCCTCCAGCAGACAGTCTACCCATGGCTCGGCCACTTCCGTGGGCCTGACCTCATTAGAAATGTCACAGCACTTGATCAGGACCATCTTCAGCTGCAAACCCACATCAGGGGGAGACACAAAGAAGGCTTTCATGGACTGGGTCAACAGATCTGCATTTTTCCTCAGTCAGTGAGCGCAGGCACACTGGGTACCTGCTCCACACTGACCGAAAGGCCAAATGGGCTCTAATCACACCATGTTACATTTGCAACACTAATATATGCCCTGAGGTGCTGAGTACATACACAAGTTACATGCTCCTCATTGGTGAAGTCAAAGTTGTCCACTTTGTGCTTGAAGGAGTCCAGGATCTCCCCATGTCTGGCCATGTCAGTGGCCAAAATCAGCGTGATGATTGCCTGCATGTGAAGAGTTACATTAAAAAACATGAATAGATCTTCTGCTTCTTCTTAACTCCAATAATAGCCCCTCTATTCAACTCTATTGACCAGAAGTATGGAAGCAAGCGTGATTAATTTTAATTCACTCAAAAAAATTACAGTTATGTCGAAATACCATGAAGTGAAGCATTAGATGTGAAAAGCCTTCAAGGTTCTTTGTTGATAACCGTCCATTACACTGGCCAGTTTTGGATGATTTAGAAGTTTAAAATTTTGTTAATCAAGGCCTTCAGCAGCATCTGAATGTAGATATGAGGATATATGGAAATCATTTCCCACAAGATACTTTTAAGGTAAATAGGTACCAAATGTAGTACCAAAGAAAGTTCTGTGATGTGTAACAATAATGGAACCCTTTTTGGTGCTGTATTGAACCCCTTTTCAAAAAGGTTCTTATATAAAAGGTTCATTTTCAGGTTTTCCATCATAGACAAGATCCATTGAAACATTTAAATGGTTCTTTGAGTGTTCACGGTTCCATATATATATACATTGCCTTTACTAAAGAACCCTTAAAGAACCCCCTTTTGAAGGGTCTTGTGGAGAAAAATTCACTATTGTATATCTCCTTCTCTGTTTCCAGCAGCAGTATGTCAAAAACATTGACTCAATATCTCAAAATAATCACTTATTCTTCTCATATTTTTACTAAGTATCTCAAAATAATCATGTCTTTTCTTGAGATATATACTTAGCATCTTGAGATTTTGTATTATTAAGTTGAAACATTATTCTGGGATAATAAGTCATTATTTTGAGATACAAATCAAATTGTAGGAAAATAAGTTGTTATTTCGAGACATTAACCCTCTATTGCATGATGTTGCCTCAGGGCAACCAACTCATTTTCCTCAATTTACAGTAACATTATCCATAATTAAAGACAATGATAGGGTAAACAATACTATCTCTTAGTGGGAAGATTTAAACCTCATTTTTAATATTCAGTTTGGAATTCAGTGGAATGGATTTAGCCAGTCACAAGCCAGGTCTCACAAAATTCTCTCAAAATTTGAGAAAATAAGTCATAATTTTGACACAGTAAGTTAAACTTTGTCAAAAATAAGTAATTGTTCCAAGATATCAAGTCAAAATTGTGACATATTGCTGCCAGAAACAGAGAACTAGAAAAATAATAAAATTCTGTAGGAGCACCAGGAGCAAAACAAACTAATGTAGACTGACCTGGCGGATCTGTTTAAAAGTTTCAGAATCCACATTGGCAAAGATATTGCACTCGGGCAAAGCGAGGATTTGGAAGGCCACAGCACAGTGATGGTTCTCCAGAGGAGAGATGTCATTATAGCGCACTGCAAGCTCAGTGCGGGCATTTATCTGGTACCTGGAAAAGAAGTAACACAGAGTATGATCCACTGACTTGGCTTATTTAATTCATTAATTATAGTGATGAATATAGTTCTGTGCAAAACTCAGAAAGCACCATTCATTTATTTAAGTCAAAATTGCCTTTAAGTGGAAGTTATTCATTGTTAGTGTCAGAGAAGAAAGCAGAAAACGTTTACAGTTGTGTGCAAACATTTGAATGTCCCTGGTCAAACTACATGTTTTGTTGATTTTCTAAGTGAAAATAAGTGAACATCCTCTACAGAAAACACACTAAAATATGACATTGTTCTGAAAATTTAACCATATAATTTCTAGTTACTTGCCAACTTTAACATATTGGAATTTTTAATGATTTTTTCCACAATATGTTAAATTCAGTAAATAAACAGTAACTGTGTGTTAAAATGTGCAGAAGTGTTTTCTCTGTAGAGAATGTGTAACGTAATTTCACTTAGAAAATCTACAAAACGTAACTTTTCCAGGGGCGCCCAAAGAAAGAGAAAAAACCCCACAGAATCCTCAACAACTAAATACAATTTCTAAAAAAATGAAAATTTCAGTATTTAGTGTGTCCACACTTTGCCTTTATTACAGTGTCCATTTTTTTGTGAGACTTACTCTCAGTTTTTCAAAGAAATCTGCAGGGATATTTTTCTACACCTCTAAAGTTCAGTTAGAAGTTGGTTGTATTTTCTGCTTCTCAGTGCCCAATAAATCCCAGACACATTGAAGTGATGTTGAGGTCTGGACTCCATTGTTCTGAGAACATCAGCAGCTTTTTTGTTTGAATTGAATTTTCCTTTTCTCAGTAATGGCTTCTTGACAGCTACACAGACTTAAGTTGTCCTCTCACAGTGGAAGGATGGACAGAAGCACCTGTGGGGTTTCTCAGATCTGAAACAAGAGTGGAGCTTGATTTTCTCTCATAGATGAAAGCTTTAAGTGGGGACTACCAGGTCTTATATGATTGTTGGGAGTCCCATTTTCTCTAAATTTTTTGATCATTTGAACTCTTCTTTTTTCACTTATTAGGCTTTGATTTTTCCCTTATGCAAGTGAATTACCTTATATGTAATTTCCTCTGAAGATTAGGAAGAGTGGTCTCTGACTTTGCACGGTGCTGTCTCTTTACAGTCTGGCTGGTTACAGTCACTGTCAGATTTGTGAGTTTGCAACACATTGAGTGATTCTTACGTGTTATTGTATCCAGGGTGGTCCAAGTCATGACATACTGCAGCAGTCATTAAAATGCCCAAGTCTGTCAGCGTGAGCTTTTCCTGTGGACCAAAAACATCCACACACACATAAACACGCTCCCCTGACACACTGTGAGTGAGTGTCTCTGTTACAGGCCCGCTATCACTGCATTACATAAGCATGAGTTCTCACCTGAAGGTTGCAGAGGTGGATCATGCCATACATCATCTGACTCACACAGAAACAATGGCGGAAGTTGTGGAAGGGGTTGCTACGGTAATTCTCCTGAATAGCAAGCTAAAGAAAATACAATAATCATAGGGTTTGTACAAGACCTTGTAAATTTATACCCATAAATCCAACCACAGGAAAAGAAAAACACCTTTTCTTCCTCAAGGTTAGGGCTGTGTTCACACTAGGTGTTTTATGCATGGAAAAAGCTCTGCCCAGAACGATTTTTTGTGCTGATATAAAAATGCAAGCATCTCACGCAGTATGGCAATGTAACCAAAACAACAGAGTAAAGAGTTCTACCTTGTTCTAACTCTACCTTGCTTAGATACAGCATACAGTAGGCTCTAAAAGTCTGAGACCATTAGTGAAAATGTTCTTATTTTGCACTCTTGTCTAAAAGATTTTCATTACAAATTCTATTACCAGCATAACAATTTGAATTTTTAACATTTGATCAGAATTTGATAGCATTTAATATGTCCTTCTTTTGCTTTAATAAGTATAACTTTATATAACTTTAATAATGATAAGTGAACTCAAGCTGGCATGGACTTCCCATGCTTCAGCTAAAGCCTCTGAGGAGCAGCTCAAATTCTGCTAAGAGTTGTCTGCACAGGAGCTCGGTGGAAAAGATAAGACTAAAAAAAATCATAAATTTGTATAAAGGCCTCAACATGGTCAGTGTCACAAATTTGCATTACATTTTTCAAAATTCTAAAATGTCTGTTGTTTATTTCCAAGTTTAAATGAAAAAAGCCCACATTTTTGGTCTCAGACTTTTGAGCCCTTCTGTATGTCCAAAAGTATCCAGACACCCCTTCTAATTAGCAAATTCAGCCATTTTGAGGTGCATCCACTGCTGACACAGCTGTTCAATTGTGCGCACACAGCTTTCATAATCTGCATAGAAAAGCATTAGAGGAATATAAAGCCCCCCTGATTTGGGCTGTGGAGCACTGGAACTATGTTCTCTGCAGTGATGGAGCTCCATCCTATACACCTGGGATGAACTGGAGAAGCAGAACTAATCATCCAGCATCAGTACTTGACCTCACTAATGGTCTTGTGGCTGAACATCAATCAAATCCTCACAGCATTTTGATTGCTTCGGTCCACTTCGGACCGCCATCGGACTGCATGTAAATATGTGTTAGCTGTTGAGGAAGAAACACCTGTGAACATAATCTGAAACCCTAAGGGCCTGTGATGTGATGGGCCCACATTTCAGTTTCTCACCCTCATAACTGCAAAAGTTTGTGCACCCCGGTCAAATGACGTTTTGTTGATTTTCTAAGTGTAAATGAGTCACACATCACACAGAGAAACATTACTGTACATTTGTTAACATATTGGGAAAAAAATAAAACATAAATGTGGGCTGTGTAAAAGTTATGGCACATTTTATATTTCATGTTTTAGTTTTTTCCTGTATTTTAAATCTAGCAAGCACATAGAAACTGTGCAGCAAAATTTGCAGACAATTGACATAATTACGTTTTTTTTATCATAGAGCATTTGTTAATTTATTTTCACTTAGAAAAATCAACAAGACATGTAATTTGACCCTGGGGGTGTTCAAACTTTTGACTCTATGCGTGAGTGTTATAGTAGTAATCAAATAAGTCTTAGCAAGTACTGAGTAATAATTCTAGGGGTTAAAATTATACTCTTACCAGCCAGCGCTTGAGAGTAATGGGGTTCATGGTGAACTCCTTCACCAGCCCTAAGTCATGGTACATGTACTCCAAGCAGCTGAGCATCTAAAGCAAACAGAAGGATCACAAATTGCTGGGCACCAATGCATGGCAAACATAGTGCATACTAACCCAGAAATCATCACAAGTCTAAATATTTACATTCCTTTGAGGCAGACTCACTTCATTGTGCTCCCAGTGCCAGACATCAAAGGTAGGTTTCTTCAGAGCCTCAATCGTCTCCTGAGAGAGCGTGTACTGAGGAGATAAAAAATAGGTGTGATGACTTTGCTTCTTCCAGCACTTGTGATTCATTCAAAAACATTGTGTTGAAAGCAAAAGCACCTTTGGATAGCTGGGAACGTCGCGTCTCGGAGTTAGTTTCTTTCCATCGTCCGAGAAGTTGTACTTACATGGGCAGTTCACTCTGAAAAGGAGATGGTAGAGATAATGTACATTTGAATTTCGCTGTCTTAGAGAAGACACAGTTGACTTAGCAGAAATGACTGAGTTATCAGACTGTCCGTCACGGGTGGATTGATTAGAATGAAGGCTAGAAGCCGTTATGACCAGCCTTAAACCGCTTACCTTCCTCCTCCTCTGGAGGTCATCTCATCTCTCAGCTTCTTCAGGTCGTTCTTGCACTTCTCAATCTCCACAACCTTGAGGCCCTCCACTGGGAGTAAAACGCAACAGCACAATACTTGAATAGCAAGGCAACTATTATAGGAAAGTAACATCACTGACGTTAATGACACCAAGATTTCAGCACATATACACTCAAATATTAAATATGCTCAGAATCCTTACACTCGACTCTCTTCTCCAGCATAGCCAGCCTGTTGGTCACTTCGGTCTTCAGTTCATTGATCCTGAAGGCCCTAGAAAGAAGAAAGCCTTTTTCAGACAAGCAGCCTATAGTCAGTGCATCGGTGCTGAAAAAGCGAGCGCTCTGGAATACTCTCTATGGGAAAACAAACAAAGAAGTTACCTGCTGAACTGCTCCGCCACCTGCGATAACACGTTCTGAAACATGTCTTCCTTCTCTGTGGAGGGAAGCAAACAGGCTGTAAATCACGGCCGGGGCTAAACTCGCCTCCAGTGAGGGAACAGTCACCCTGGGCCATAAATGTCAACAGTAAAGGTTAAAAGAGAGCTGTAACATCATTGGAAAATTGGAAGTGTTCTGTGTTACCTCCCAGCTGACCGGTGGGACAGAGGAACGACTTTGTAGAGAGAACTGTAAAGGGGAAATGATATAACATAAAATTAATACAGTGATTGCAATGCAAATGCAATAAATAGACATAAAGGTAATGTAGCAACTCAGTAATGGAGGTACTTGGGAGAGTTGGTGGGCATGGTAGGATCAATGGACACCAGGGCTCCCTCAGGGTCCAACAGCATAACAGCTGTGTTTCTGTGGAAGAAAGATAGGATACAGATCGTTTTAGACATTTACTGGGCTTTTGCCACCAAAGGCTGGAGCACAGTTCATATTTCTTTACAAACACTGAGCTGTACACCGGCCACTTTATTAGAAACACCAATCTTATAGCTTGCTGGTTTACAGTTAGAGACTGTAGCCTAATACTTTGTGTTAACCATCCTCTTTCCCTTCATTAGTGGTTGGTTTCTGACCACAGAACCGCTCATAGATGGGAATTTTTGGGATGCAGACCACTCTGATATGTAAAAACTCCAGGCAACAGAAATGTGCTTGATCACTCGCATTAGTATGGCAATACTACCAGGTCAGTGTCATTGCTGTGCTGAGAATGATACACCACCCAAATCATATCTGCTCAACAGCCAGCAGCAGGTGACTGAGAAATCGTGGCTGACAACAGATGGGCTACAGTGTGTAATTATACACTTATATGAGTCATTCTACCAAACTAGTTCAAAGTCAAGGTTCAAAACACGTTTCAGACTTTTAACTTTTGACTTGGACTTTAGACTAAAATCCTTTTGCTCTGAGTGACCCTATACCTTCATTTTGTTTATTTATAAAAAATAAATGATTGAATCTTCCATTTTGTCACTTTCGAAACAATCATAACACTACTGAAACTTTACCAAATGTTTCGGCAGTGACAAATTTAGATACATTTGAGCCTAAGTCTAAAACACTAGCCAGTACATGACTGGCAAACACAGCTTTGAATGACTGTATGCACATAAAATCATAATATTTCTCATCAAAATACAAAAAGGTTTATTTAATTGCAGAAAATACTGAAAATTCTTCATGTTACACACTGATTTTCACTTTGGGACACATTTACTTCAAAACAATGGGATCTAACCGCTCACCATGTGGCCATGAGGGACAGGGACACGGTCTCTTACTTTAGTGCTCTAAAATGCTCTAAAACGCAAGGCATGCTTAAAATAAGACTCCGCCTATATTTCAGTGTTTTGAGACTGACATAAAAACATGGGACAGTATTTTTTTACGACCTTTTTTTTTCAATAATTAAATTCATGATACATTTAAATTTTTCAACTTCGCTTTAAAATCAAAAATATCTTAAAAAACATAGATAACAATGTAAGTATGATTTAAAGTCTAGGGGACAGGGTTTAGGACAGACATCTCCCATTGGAAAAGTCCCCTATAAATGATGATTTTGTATATTGTCACTGTCCAAAGAAAAACAAGTCTCTCCAAAATGGAAACTTCACAGTAACATTCTTTTCCTTCAGTGGAAGTTAATGTAAAGAGCTTTTATGTGCAGCAATTTTGGAGAATTTCTATTGGTCCAATCATTAAGAAATTTTCAGACAATGTAAAGGACATCTGCTGCGCTCAAATATATATATATATATAGTGACCTATAATGTAGGTGGACCTCATAAAGTGACCAGGCAGTGGAAGTGCAAGGTAGGTGTTTATAACAAAGTGGACAGTCTACATCTTAAAACGGTGTTTCTCTAACTGTGGTACTCGTATCCTCAGTGGTATGCCAAATGACACTGGGGGTCTGTCAAAAAAATCTAACATTTGCACTTAATCTTCATTTCCATTATCTGGCTGCACAATTCACAATTACTTTCACAATACGGACAACACTAACAGCTTTTCCAGCTCTGCACTCTACTCACCAATATCTGAGCAAGACATCCTCCCTGAAATCTGTGAGCGTACTCTTGAATACTAACTTTAACGAAAAGATTTTTGGCCATTGCCTACTTTTACACAGGACCTATATGCATGAATGATGTCTGTAGTATTCCATATGTCTGTGCCATATTTGTAAAATCCAGCACATGGTATGGGTGCTGTGATCGTGAGGTTTTTTGCTCTTGATTTATTATTTTTGTTATAATAAGGCTGTGTTAGAGAAGCAGGTGTTGCACTCTGGTTTGTTCAGTGTATTGCACATTCAGGAGAAATGTAGAGTTCATTCTTTTGTTTATTATCTGCTGCTGCATGCATGAAGAAAGTGAGTATCTATTGCTAACTGTTGTAAAGGCATGTATGATCCTTGTTAGTTGTGTTTTGGAGTCATTTCACTGTTTAGTTCATGGTTGTACTGAGTTTTTAGTCTTTAGACTGCAGCGATTTGAGCATAGCATTCAAGTTAGGATTCAAGTTATATGTTTTTACCACTTTTAAATGCTAACTAGTTAATGTTGTGATGATGCTGTGATGTGTGGAACCTGTGATGTAATCTGTGAAAAGCCCCAGGCTTTCTCACACATGCATATGGCCTCGTATTGACCACTACCTGTGCTGCTGCCTTTGTGATTACAAATATAGTTCACTCCTCTACTGAAGCCCTGTGTGTTGACCAGCACACCAGCATGAACCACACCTATGATACAGGCCTAACAACGTCCCTAACATTGTTTATTTAGTCTGTATTATTCAGTACTGCTGATGTCATGTGTCTTGTCTTGATGGAGGATTGATTTTACAAGACTAAATGTCTTGCACATCATGGCAATATGCACACGTGTATGCACGTGTAAGGAGTGAGAGGGGGTACGCAGCAGGAGAATTAATAACTAAGGCAGTACAGGACTGTAAACAGTTTGGAAGCCACTGTCTTAGAATAACAACAGATGTTGGAGTGTTTGGTGGGAATATTAATGCAAGCAACTAACCTCGGGATATTGGAAGAGGAACACAGCAGTTCTTTAATGTCACATGGACTGCAGTGACGACTGAACAAAACCTACAAATAAAAAAGACAGTTCAACCTCTGTCTGTCTTTATATGGCTGTGTTAGAACCTCATAAAATACACACACATTTGCCAGAAACATTCTAGACTAACAATCTTTACACACCATAAAAAGATGGTTCTTCAAAGGTTCTTTGGTTAAGAAAATTGTTCTATATAGAACAATGAACACTCAAAGAACCCTTTGCATGATTAAAGAGTTCTTCTGCATTATGAAAGGGTCAGATAGATGAAAAATGTATTTTTATATGGTTCTATATAGAATGTTTTTGAAAAGGATTATATACTGCATCAAATAGGGTTCTTCTATCGTTACATAGCTTCACATCAAAACAATAAAAGAGCCCTTTTTGGTGATTAAAACAACCCCTTTCACAAAGGTTCTACATAGAATTGTCAACAGCACATTCTCCATCGGTTTGAAGAACTCTTTAAAGATGCAAAGAACTCTTTAATCATGCAAAGGGTTCCCTGAGTGTTCATGGTTCTATATAGAACAATTTTCTTTACTAAACAACTCTTACAGAACCATCATTTTTAAGAGTGTAGAATTTGTTACTGCCGAAAACATATAATTACGTTATAACGTTACGTTATTTTATTTTTTTCATACTCACTGAAAGAAGTGGAAAATAATTCTGTCAAAACGTTTAATCAATACTGTGTTTGCATTTGTAAGTAGGAGATCATTATGCTAGGAATTTGATGATGTACATTGTCATGTACAGTCTTGCTTTGCAGAAAGAAAAGAATCCTGTCCATTTCTGTCATTGTTTGACATTAAAACAAAAGGAAAAAAGTCTGAAACACAGATTCAAGCCTGTCGATACAGAATGTGAACTGAATGTAAATGTAATTTATCAAATAACTAAATAATGCAGTTATACAGTTACATACAAAAGTTTGGGTGCCCTGATCAAATTACATGTTTCATTGATTTTCGAAATGTAAAAAAAAAGTGAATACATCCTCAATAGACTTCACATTTCTGCACATTTTAATGCACTATTGTTTTTTTTACTGAACCTAACATATTTTAAAAAAATAACATAAAATGTTGCCTGTGCAAAAGTTACAGCACATGTAAAATGTTACTTTCATTTTTTGCAAAAATAATGCAATTTGACCATGGAACTTCAAACTTTTGCAAATATATAAAAAGCAAATATGACATATGTCAGACATTCATAATTCTAATATAGAACAATGTGTAAATGAAATGGTCTGAAACGCTGTTATGATAATGATAATGATTCCCGAAGATAAATAGGCTATTTTGGTTTCATTAGTGTCTCTCTTGGTTGGCTGGAGCGTGGGATAATAGTGTGCAGGTGTAGGAGACAGCTCACTCAGCTCCGACACATTTATTTTAGAGTGGACACATGTCACCTCCAGCACACACTTGGCTCTGGTTGTTTGTGTTTCACAATCATACAGGCACAAGTACTGTATGTCATCACTGACATAACAGAACCTCATATCTCTGAAGGGGCAACATTAAGATACAAGTGATTCTGGATCTTTTCCATTTGTCCATTCATAATCAAATGTTCACACAATGTAAAGGGCAGCTAGAGAGTTTTCAATATGATAGCTTAAATGTTGAAATAGTGATAATATTGAGTGTATGACTGTTGCATGTACACTAAGATGCATTAGTATAAATGAATGCATTACACACTATGCATATTTGTCCTGTGCTGGTCTTCATGTTTATTAGGCTGTTCATTTAATGGAACATTTTGCTAACATTTCCCACAGTCAGCGCGTGACGGCTAGAGTGTGACCTCCATATGGAATACTACAGTAGTGTAAATCACCACAGTCACTTACTGCTTTTCAGTCCTTTCCTTTGGGAAATGCACCTGAGAATCAATGGAGGCACAAACTGAGCATGCTAGTAGCAGGTGTCACTGCAACCTATTATGCCACTGACACCTGTGGGACAGGCCATCGTCAGCTTTATTTTTAATCTCAGCTCACTGCTATTCCTGCATATGCCCTTCACTGTTTTTTTCCCAAAGGAGCATGTGCTCGGTGACCTATATATCAGAAAGGTGATTTTCAGTGCATTCGAAATTCACATATTAAATTGCTGAATTAAAGAAAACATTACTTTTTACCATGATGCAGAGAGAGCACAGTCTGACTATGGCAGCGATTTTCACTCACATTTTGTTCAGACGTAAACAAAGTCATTCAGAATAATTTGGTGTGAGAAACTTGCTGAGTCAGAACTGTTCACAGTGGTGGTGACAGGAAGCAGACATCTGAAGCATTTAATGCCTTTGAAAGCTCCTTCACAGGAAGTTGTTACGCAAAACAGTTAAAAACATTAATTGATGCCCGAAACGTGGTTTTATGATAATATTTTGAAAAGGTTTTTGGTCTAAAACTTATTTGTTAAAATCTATTTATCCTAGAGTGGTACATGGAGAGTCGTGTAAAGTATAATACTACCCACAAAAAAAAAAAACATATTTTTCAGATTTACCATTATTTTTACCATGATCACCATTATATATAAACACTCAGAAGACATGTAGGTTCACAGGTCGTTTTTGACAATAAATAAAATTTTGCATTGTAGATATCGTGACCCCTGGTTCCAGTCAGCACCACTGTGAAGAAATCAGAGTCAGTATGTTTCTGTACAATAAACCATTTACATCAAACCACTCCCAGTGAATGAATAAGCCTATTAAATTAATTTTTGAAAATTCATGGAATTGCCCTGCAAACGCATTGTTAGCAACACTTAATACTGGTTAGCGATGTCCATGATAACGTTAATGATTTACATCTCAATTTACCTCTCCATTTCTGTTTTTTGTTTTTGTTTTTGTTTTTTAACAGAATTTGAAACCTCCAGCTGCTCAGCTACACTGTGTGAAAATTTCATGAGGAAGGGAAGAAGATAAGCAGTCCTTCTCCTGTAAAGTTTTCATTGTACTTTCTAGGTTTTGTTGTGACAGCAATATTTATTGGAAAGATCAGTTCATGCTCCTTTTACTCATCCTTTAGGCCAAGTTTTGCTGTGGTGCTACAAAACCAGTTAATGCCCTCCTTTCATTAATGACATATACAGGCTCAAAACCCACAGACATGAGCAGAACATCAGGAGATCAAACTGTCTCTTCAATTTTACCTTCCAGACAAAGATTAAACACAACACTGTGGCAAGATACAGCCTTCTAAAAAGTCAGTTTAATAATCAGTATCAGTTGTTAGCTCCTTAAAGTTTTGTCATTCAGTAACTACTGCCTGATATGAAGCTAATATGTAAGGTATGACAGCGAGGAATCCTTAATGTTTAATAGGTTAAACGTTCTTTCTGACGTCTGCTTTTGTCCACGTTCATTAAAAAAGTTCCTAGGAAGTTCATAAGTTGGAGAAGTGTTGGAGATGGCCAGGTAATTCTTTATGAGCTGTTAAGATCATGCTCTTCTCCTGATTTTGTCTTTGAGCTTTACAGCCACAACACACAGAAAAACACACCACCCACCTTCTGCACTTTGCCATCCACGTCCAGGTAGATGGTTCTGGGGGCGTAGGATGAGGAGCCTGAGCCCATGCTGACAGTGCTGCCTCAGTGAGCTGACAGGAGAAAGTGAGAGAGAACTTCTCTTACTCTGGAGGAGGCTTTTTCCAAGACCAAATCCAAAGTCCACCAAGAAACCACAGAAGAACTCACTGGAGATTGTCTGGCCATGGCGAGATGAGCAGATGAAGATCAGTTACATTCACAAAATAATGAACCAGATCACACAAGAGTCACTGTATAAAGTCCAGGTTGAAAACTTTCTGAGATTAACGTCTCATTGTCGGTTCTGGTATATTAATTTCTCCATCAGTGTAAAGTGGTCTGCTGTCACCAGATACATCTTCATTGATATATAACTGAATGAAGGATGATTATGAGGTAAATGCTGCTGATGTATGTGCATATGTGTGGAGCAATGTCATTCAATTGATATTCCTTTCCTTGTAGAAGCACCCCAGTATTTAAACTATAGAATAAAAATGAGTTTATTTTATTTATGTAAAATCATTTCATTTTATTATGACTTTTGGTATATGACTTTTGCATGTACACTTGAGTGCTTAGTATATGAATCCCTCGCATACTAATCAATTTTCTGGTTTTAAGCTGTAATTTCTATTTACATACATCTTTCTAAATTTTAATTTGAATTATTTTTGTATTCTCTCATTTGAAAAGCATTCTGAATGACTGAAGCATATGAAAGGGCCATATAAATAAACTTGCCTTGCCTCACTGACAAATTCATACTGACAAATTCACCATTAATTTCATTATCTATCAAGTAATTCACACACAGAATTCACCACTATTCTACACAATACTGAAATATATGTTCTACATCACTAAAAATAATTCTGAATAGATTTTAAGCAAATATCCATATTCACTCACCTGAACTGTATGAGCTGTGCTGTATTCTCGCGTCGTGTGCAGGACACGAGAGCTTCGCAGGTGCTAAGCATGGAGCCTAATCGACTGAGTAGGGGGGGGGCCTGGGGGTATTGAAGGACTTTGAATGTAACTGCCGCTCTACGCCGGTTGCCAGGGGACAGTTACTAAGGGTGAGAAAGTGGGCTGCCTTGTCTCTGCCGGATAGCTCCAGCTGCTGATGCAGTCACTTGTTAGATATTTAGATGGGGATGATAATTGATGCCGTCTAATTTGACAGATTTTATTGGAGTTTATAGTTGGGTTTGGGCATGAAGTGTTGTGTGTTGAGTTTGATTTGGGTGTAATGTTTTGAGAGCTCATGGGTCAGACCAAGGATCAAGGGCCAGATCAAGTCTAGCCAATGTTTCAATCAAAATAAATGAGTAAATGGAGGAATACATATCATATTTTTTACATCAATTTATTCAGTTTCCAAAGCATATTCAACTGCTTTATAAAACTGGCACTATGTCTGGATGTCTATGATAGTAGGTCCTCCCTGGGGTGAAATGAAAATAAACATGCTACACATGAAAAGTAATACACTGAATGTATATTACACCAACACAATGCTGTCTTTCAGCTAGCTTGCCTTTGGTAATAATGTGTTTATGTATTATATAAATCCAGTGTGGAACCATCATGGCCTTCTAAGTCTCCAGAGAATGCCAAATGAAAGAAAATAAACATATCCACTTTTTCTGGATTGTGCCAAACTGCCAGTTGCTTGTGGTTGTGTTGTCATGTACCGCACAAGGGGGTTTGGGTTTTAATTTTGAAACTCATTTTCAGGTAGCTCTGTGTTAGTGAGTTACATTTCCCCATCTAAAACTAGTGTTGATATTATAGACTATAAATTAAAAATTGCAGATCATGTGATTTGAAAATTGGACTTTTTCAAACTGCGATTTCAATATAAACTCGATTCATCTTTTGGCCTTAAGTGTTGTTTTAGTTCACCTTTTTTTAGTATTGCAAATACTAGGGTTACATTTTTAAAACACTCAATGAAAAATTATACAATGATTTTTTTTCCCTCTGTGGTGTCTAGGTAGATACAGCCAAGCGAGCTCTCCCATTGGTTAGGACTTCAGGAGCTAAACAAAAGGCCTAATGCAGCAGATCATGTTTAGATTTCCAATGGATGAGACCAATTTGGTAATAAAAGCTCACTCTAAGCCTTCTGGAGGTTCTAGATACGTCACTGACTGTAAATACAAGTGGTATTCTAAGCATTCTATTTAGTTAACTAAAACTATTACTACAATGAAAATTAGCAGTGCTTGTTAACTGTATTAAAATTAAAATGATTTTCAAAACCATGAAAACTAAATTAAAACTATAATGTTCATATGAAAACTAAAAAGACATGGAAACACTCGGAAAAAAACTTTTGTTTTTTCAGTATGAATGAGAGTTTAGAAGTGGAACTCTTCTGAGTTTGGCTATCTTTAAGGAAAGCAGAAGCTGAACTCAGTCTACTGTTGCGCTGATGTTATTCTACCATTTTCAAATACCTAGCGGTAGCAGTAGTGGCTGTATGCCAGGACTCTTATAGAAGGACTTAATGTAACACTACAGCAAGGTAACATATATGGTAATATATCTGGTGCAAGCTTTAAATAAAACATGGAACATCTTCAACAAGCTCCAAATGTGCACATTTAATCCAGAACACACACAAAAAATATTCAAGTGTATCACTGTTAGTTTAGCACTAATACACTCCTTGTATATAGAGCCTTTGATCAACTCCATCTGAAAGTCTGAACATGTGTTTCAATGAAAGGAAAAAAAAAATCAGACTTTTTGTTCAAAGGCTTTAACATGGTCAGTGTCACAAATGTGCCTAAATTTGCGTTTGTTCTTTTTGTTGTTTATTTTCAGGTTTAAAGTGCTCCTTTCCCACTACTGCTTCTCCATAGACAATGAACAACAGATGTTTTCGTCAGACCTCTTAGAAACGGAGGCCAGAGAGATTCTTCAACCAGTGCTGCCCTGGTGGGACAGTGGATACATTCTCTTGAAGTATATTTTGCAATCAGCATAGATCTGACCAAGATGCCCCATCAAAAAAGAGAAAACAAGCTCACAAGCTCTGCTTTGTCACACCAACCCTTGTGAACGAATGAAGCTGTTGCAGCACGTGGCCTGGCCATTAGCAGCCCTTGTGAGGACAATATTGGAGAGTCAGCAGCAGAGGCAAGAGTGAGCCTGCTTATGAGCCTTTCTCTAATTAACATCCTCCCTGGGGGAACACGCACTTCCTACACCTCCATTCACCAAGCCTAAAACACTCCTGCCGGCATCACCCATCACACATACACAGAGAGATCAGTCCCCATATCCTAGAACGCTCATTACCAATGAACCCCACTAAGGGACAGATTCACTTATGTTAACAAAAGTAGCGACAAATAATATGCACATTAAAACTTTTTGTGGGAAGAATATTACTATCATTATTACACATACATATTTGTATATAGACACACTATATGGACAAACATATTGTGGCCTACATATTACACCTACAGGAGCTTTATGACATCCCTTTCTAAATCCATAGGCATTAATATGGAGTTGGTCCCCCCTTTGCAGCTATAACAGCTTCCACTCTTCTGGGAAGCTTTCTACAAGATTTTAGAGTGTGTTCGTGGGAATTTTTGCCCATTCATCCAGAAGAGCATTTGTGAGGTCAGACACTGATGGCCTGGCTCAAAATCTCCATTCTAGTTCATCCTAAAATTGTTCAGTAGGGTTGAGGTCAGGACTCTGTGTGGGCCAGTCAAGTTGTTCCACACCAAACTCACCCAACCATGGCCTTGTGGACCTTCTTTGTGCATATACATATGAGTGTGTGTTTGTGTCTATAATATTGGCCTTTAAACAATTTAATATAAAAATCTAAAAGTAAAAATAAAAGGTTTGTACGAAGTTGATATGTAATTTATTAATGTCCATGTCAGAGTAAGCTACTCTCTGTGGCAATAGAGACCAAATTTTTGATAAAATAATCATCAAATCTGTGTCACCACACAATAAAATATTAATATGATTCCATAAGCTTAAAATGCTAATACAGTGTAGACTACTTCCCCGATCAAGACAGGCCTGAAGGTTAGTAGCGACAGGCTTGTTAATGTTCATAAAGTCGGTGAAATTTGACAGCAGGCTGACAGATTCTCAGATGTTGGAAAAGATACCAACCTTTACATTTATAATGTGGGTTGATTTATTGACTGACGATGGCTCTTATGAAAAAAAGCTTAGCAAAACTAAAGGGAAGTTATAAACACGTACAAACTTGGGAGAATGTTTGTAACTTGGGTAAACCAATGGCTGGTTTGGTTATATGTATATTCTTAAGCTAGTCAGTATTTTGCCCTAACTGTCTGTTTATGACAATTATTAACAATACTTGTAATATTGTATTGCACAAGCCTTGTTTACAGTACAACAGCCATGTATAGTTTATTGAAACTGGTTTATGACACATGCAAACCGTGTCATGATACCTTGATACATATCATGAACCATGAAAATGTCTTTAAGTATTGTGAAGTGAGATTTTGCCATGTTGGCCACCCTTAATGTGATAACAACGAGATCTGGGGTTCTGAATGCTTTGCCATGACTGAAACTCTTTATGTATGTGACCCTCTCTTTGCCAAACTGTTTAATGCTGTTCCCTCACAAACAAAAAACATGCAATTCTGTGAAAGACTGACTTAAAGGGGAATTACGCCGATGTTTTACAACTTCTGCATAATTCACTGGTAATATGTAAACAGTTATTTGGAGTGATTTGATGTGAGATGCTCTGTACTAGAGAAACTTACTGTCACCATATTTGTGGTGGTGATAGGAACCAGACATCTGCAGAGTTGAATGCCTCTAAAATCATTCTCACACAAAGTTATAACATGAAATGGTTATGAATACGCTGCCTGATGCCCAAAACATTGCATTAGGATAGTTTTGAGATGTGATTTCAAGAAGCTAAAAGGTATTTTCTGAAAGTCATTCATAGTGGAGGGGTACATGCAGGGTGGGGCAAAATAGTCCCAAAAGAAAACTTATTTGTTCAGATTGATGACTGTTTTAGCATCATCAACATTACATATAAAAACTTAGAAGGCACATGTGAGCTCACTGGTAGTTTTATAGAGTAAATAAAATGGCTATATTTGCATTGTAGGCATAATGACTTGCTGGTTCCCATCACCACCACTGTAAAGAAATCCCTAAAGATATATGTTATAGGAACTGTGGGCCAGAGTAAATATCCAATATTTTTGATGTACAGATCTGCCAACACTGCCACATACACATTTATAAAATGTAGAAACTGGGTCTATATTTACCTGAATCAGCATTACGGACAAACATAAAACTCTTATGTCTATACGGTTACAAATAAATACATCATTAAATACTGGTTTGAAATATAGGTCAAATCTCAACATCTGTCCAATGATGATGATGCATTTTTTTAAACAATTATCTGCCGATAGCGATGTGATTCTGACATTGTTGTATTTACATAAAAAGGATATTTTTCCCAAAACATTTGCATAATACAGTTGCCATCTCTTGTTTAATATTTCGACAAGGGCCGGGAGCCTCACAGTGAGCGCATAGAGTGGCCGACACAAAATCAGCAGATGGCCAATGCTTACGCAATCCAGCAGATTAGTCAATCACACCTCGAGTAATCAAGGATGCAAGTGGCTGCAATTAATCAGAGGACACAGGCGAGGCGTCCAGTCACATTTCAATAACAAAAGGGTGTTCTGCTGGAGATCTGAGAGAAAGACATTATCCTGATAATGAGACGAGGGGCTTTATGGGGACTGGGCCAACATGTCTGCGTGGCTGTTTCAGATGAGGCCAGGAATATGGAAGACTCCTCTCATGGGCTCCTTTTATCTTCTTTTCTCCCTACTCAATATCCCTAATGTTTCATCTTCTTGAGGCCTGAAAGCCTTGCCTGAAAATTCGTCAATAGGTACGGCTTTCTGCTCCTGTGCTCTGTGATCTCAGTGACAAAAAGAGCAAAGTGCTCATGAGGGACATCCAGTCAGTCAGGGTCAAACTCATCCTCAGATCTGACCATTCATCCCACAAAACACAGGTGATGCAGGAGCAGAATTAAAGTTGGATTAAACGGCTCTAAAAATATTACATTCGTCATTTCCGCTGTTATAAAAGATCCACTTAATGCTGTTTAAAAAAACCTCTCAGAAATACATTTGAAGCACCTCAACAGGTTGTGCACTTAATGTAACTTGATTTGGCTCTATATTTTTGTTGTTTGATTAGAGTAGCTACTCTGACCTGCTTCCATGAGCAGTGATTAGAGCCATTCTGCATAATCACCGCTCTAAAACAGCACTTAGGGCCTTCAAAAAGCGGCCTCAATATGAAGAGGTTCAGCGTAACCCTCAGGTGAAGGAATAACAGTAATCAAAAATATTTTCATAATGGGAAGATTACTTTGTTGTTACTTTTTTTAGTGATCATACAAAGACAAGTTAATCTGAAGGCTTAATTTCCAGCACACTAGTCATGTCATCACTCGTAGGTGGGTATCTGACACTATCTGAGACTAAGGTGATGTATAGTTTACTTCATAAGAAAATAGTGACTTAAAAATAAAAACCTTTTTGGAAATGATGTTTTCAACAATATAAAACCAGTTTGGTGGCAGATAAATGAAAAAAATAAAAAAGATGGTTCTTCAAGGAACCATGAATAAATGTAGGATTAAATGATTCTTTATATAGTGAACTGGTTCTTTAGATTGATGAGGAATGAGTTGTATATGGAAAAGGTTCTATATAGCACCAAAAGGGTTCTCCTATTGTTACAAGCTTGACATAATAACAATAGTAGAACTCTTTTTTGGTGCTATATAGAACTTGTTCTCCATCAATTTGAAGAACCAGTTCACCATGCAAAGAATGCACGAGCGTTCATTGTTCTATATAGAACCATTGTCTTTACTAAAGAACCCTTGTAGAACCATCTTTTTTAAGTATATAAATGATTCGAATGTCCCAGTCCTGTCCAACTTCACAAGTTTATATAGTTGTAAAAAAAATATAAAGCTGTAAATAAATAAACAAACTAACAAAGTAAACAAAACCTTGTATCTCCAAAAAGGTAACTTTACAGGAAAAGGAAAAAAAAAACGTAATTAACTGTTAATAGAACTTAATGGAAACATATTCCAAGTAATTTTGGAACATTTCTATGCCAAAATTTAATACAATGTAAAGGACACATTTATTTTTCCATCATTTTGTAATACTATTATATGCACTATTTTAAGGCATACAAGTCCTAACAGTCAGGGTTTCTTTTAGAGATGGCAGTGAGAGTTTTACAGGCAGCTGTAGTGCTGTCATTATGCGCTGATCTCTGCTGTCTGTGTCAATTCAACACCAATTCAACAGGCGACGCAAAGGACTCTTTGCCAAAAAGATACTGACCTCTAGTGGTTATGAGGAGCAAACATTCAGATGGTCTTTGAAGTCCTGAGGGCAGTCAGTGACCCTGCTGCACTTCAGAGGGATTGTTATTTAGTCAAGTTGAGTCAGGTGTGTTAGAGCAGGACAAACACTGAAGAGTCACTCCATCTACAGAGTGACATACATTTGTGTCTTGTATAAGAGACAAAAATATACTATCAAGTGTTTTTCAAGCTTAACTACATTAATTCAAAGTTTCTAATTAACAGAGTTGATGATTTTTTATTGCAAGAGGAAAACGTGTCTCTAGAGCTGTCAGATGATTAAAGTTATTTTTTACATTCTTTTGTGAAGTTAATCAGGATTAATCACATTTGTCTTGTTCGCTCAAAACTACTCCTGCATTAAAAAGTTGACGTAGAGGAGCAGGTAAACACGCTCTGACTGGAGAGATGTTATTGAAAAAAATTTGGCAGCTGACATGGAACAAAAACAAACAAACAAAAAACCTCATTAAACTTGATTAGGTGCTTTTTTAACTTTTTTTACTTTATATATCCTAGTCCTGTCCAACTTCACAGGTTTACATGGTTCTAAAAAATTAATATAAAGCTGTAAATAAATAAACAAACTAACGAAGTAAACAAAACCTTGCATCTCCAGAAAGGTACGTTTACAGGAGAGGGAAAAATACGGCATTAACTGTTAATCAAAGTTAATAAAAACATTATTTATTCCAAGTAATTTGGACCATTTATATTCCAAAATTTAAAACAATGCAAAGGACATCTAGTGATATTAATTTGATGTCTATATTCTGAATGGTAACCACTGAGGATAATTTCAGTCTGAGGCTCCATTTCAATTATTTTTTAGCTGGCCCTCACCCACTTTGACTCTCCACTCAGATATGTGTCACACCTATTTCACACAGTAAGGAGATCACAGTGATATTACAGTGAGGAGATCACAGTGAAGAGATCACAGTGAGGAGATCACAGTGAGGAGATCACAGTGAAGAGATCACAGTGGGGAGATCACAGTGAGATCACAGTGGGGAGATCACAGTGAGATCACAGTGGGGAGATCACAGTGGAGAGATCACAGTGAGGAGATCACAGTGAGATCACAGTGGGGAGATCACAGTGAGATCACAGTGGGGAGATCACAGTGAGGAGATCACAGTGAGGAGATCACAGTGAGATCACAGTGGGGAAATCACAGTGAAGAGATCACAGTGAGGAGATCACAGTGAGGAGATCACAGTGAAGAGATCACAGTGAGATCACAGTGGGGAGATCACAGTGAGGAGATCACAGTGAGATCACGGTGGGGAGATTGATGTACATAACATGTGAGTAATTGCTTTGATTGGCTATAAACCTGGAGTACAACTGTAATGACATACCGTTCTTTTTGTTCTTCTTAGCCATGTAGCCTTTAGCATGCTAACAAGCAGAGTAAAGTGATGAAGCTGTATCAACAGTCGGGTATAACAGATGGAGTAGTTTGTAAAGTAAAGCCCAGTAAATTTTTGACCCCTTTATTTTTTTATGTATTCTTATGACTTCTTTAAATATCTGTGTAGACAGTCACTGAAGTTCCATTCTCAAATATTAATAATTAAAAGTTGTATTAACATCACAATTTTGCTATGCTCAAATTGCTTTATATATCAGTGATGAATACTGAAAATCATCCATTTACTTTTTATTGCTTGTATTCTATCTTTACAAATCTGAACAAAAATATAACTGAAATTTTAAGGCATCCAGAAGGTCATTGTGGATAAAGAATGAAAAGATCATAGTAATATGGACAGATATTACAACATATTTACAACACATCTTTGTACAAAACCTCCATATAATAAAATGATATCCTGCAAAACTGGTAGGTGGTTATATCTATATTATAAAATGTCTTTTGAATGGTGGTGTTAAACATGATCTAGATAACAGAAATGTTCTAAAAGCATGTGAAAATGTAAAATCAGCTTCCGAGTATAAACAGAAAACCCATGTACAAATTCTGATAATGCTGGAGTTACTGCTGGACTCTACATTTCATGATTCTGCACTACATGTAGCAGACAAAATAATGGAGACAACGGTGAGTTCATTGTCATGAAATTAAGAAAAAAGATGCCTTTTGTTTTTTATGTCATTACAGAGACCTGTTTTGAGCAATTTCTGGTGTCACCTTTGTCAAAAATCAGTTTGTGAAATTTCTGTCTTATTTGATCTGTCCCTGACAACTGACAACCTATCATTGTTTGGCCACAAAGTGGTAGACCACGGAAACTCACAGAGCAGGGCCGCCGAGCGCTGAAGCGCACAGTGCCTATCCTCCTAACTGCATGTTAGGAGCTACACACAAGCCTAAGATCAAAGTGTACTCAAGGAGTTGGGGGTTGGTGTAAAGCACGCCGCCACTGGACTCTGGAGCAGTGGAAACGTATTCTGTGGAGTGGCAAATCACGCTTCTCTATCTGGCAGTCTGATGAACAGACCTAGGTCCATAAAGGCATGGTTGGGTGAGTTTGGTGTGGAAGAACTTGACTGGCCCACACAGAGCCCAGACGTCAACCCTATCGAACACCTCTGGAATAAACTAGAACTAGAGCTTCTGAGCCAGGCCCTCTCATCAAACATCAGTGTCTGACCTCACAAATGCTCTTCTGAATTAATGGGCATGCAAAGGGGGGACCAACTCCATATTAATGCCTATGGATTTAAAGCTCCTGTAGGTGTAATGTGTTGGCCTCCCATATATATATATATATATATATATATATATATATATATATATATATATGTAACTTGACTTAGGCCTTGTACATTTATCAGCGACTGGTCACCCAACCACGGTAAGAAGAAAAACCTGGTCATTAGTATCGTCTGCTATTTCCATTATTTTGTCTGTAATCTGTTCCTGTGTGAGTGAAGTTATCACTAATGGCATCATTAACTTTGCAGTGTTCTCATGGGTAAGGTTCAAATGCATTCTTTCTCTTCATTTCTTTCTTTCATCTCTCTCCCTCTTTTCTTTGCACTGGCTAGTCAGATACGGCTGTGAATGGTCTCATGTGCAAAAGGTGGTTCTTCTGTGTGTGAAGGGGTGGGGCTGGCTGCAGGTGGGTGGGGCTTCCGCGATAAGCTTCTCAGATGTGGTGGAGAGGATGGGGGTGGCGTCAGGGTAGGGGTGGGTGAATGAGGTGTGGTAGGGGGAGAAGGGACAGGGGTGCTGGGATATCTTCTTCCTGAGTGGACATAAGCGTCTGGAGAGTGGGCAGGAAGGGGGAAAGTGCTGGGATAGCATGGTGGGCCGAGGGGATTTAAAGGGTGGACGTAGCTACATGGGGCTTCATCTTCTCCTTCGTGGAAGTCCTGTGAGAATTTACAGAGAGGACAGAGTACAGTCAGCCAAAGTGAAGTCAAAATACTTATATTCTTAAGTTTCATAGATCTGCAAAGTGACCCCAGAAAACATCTTCAATTACCGTTTCCTTCAGAACATACAGACCACCTGGTTTTCTGCGAGTGTGATAATTCCTTCCTGGCACAATATCAACTGGAACTGCAAAGCATGGATGTATGTAGTGTTGATGTTATAAATTGTTTATTACACTAAACACAAATAATTGTATTTTTTATTAACAATGTTCTTGAATTTTGAAATGTTAACATCAACAAAAGTCATATCAATCATCAACACAGACGATGTAAACATAACATTTATAGAATATAGTGTTTAGGATGTTGTTTCCTATGAAACAGATTAGAAATCTTTGAAAGGTATAGAAAATGAGGCGTTTACCTTCATGATTGCCATTGATCTCTTCTACATTTTGCCTGCTCTGTCTGCCAGGCTGTTGCCTTTTTCTGCAAAATCAGATTAATAAATGATCTTGCCTTTAATGCATGTCAATGCATTAATGACAATGTTCTCAATAACCAAAACAGCAAACTGACCAAACTCGTAGATCTTTCATATGCTCCTAAATGGGACTAATCAGTGAAAGTTAGCCATATTATGACCTATAATTGTTTATTTTTGTCTAGCTATATCTTATAAGTTCAGTGAACTCTCATGCTACCTTCTCATTAAAGTATTATTTTGCATTATGCTTTTATGAAAACTTACAAGTAAACGTAAAAACACCATGATGCTGCTTCATCAGACCCTCATGCTCATGGCTGCCTAGGCCTGTGGTTTCTGACTCCAGTCCTGGGGACCCATAGTCTCATGGTGCAAGACATGATCTTATAAGGAGAATATATGTGTGGACACAACATTTTAAACTTTTGGTGCTGGATTGCAATGAAATCCGCCACTAACAAGGACGCTAAACTCTAAAACTCACACTAAATTCTAGTGCTTCCTTTTTTAATGGCAGTACAATCAACAACAAAAGCAAATCAAGCTGACAAATGAAACACTGTTTTGAGCTGTTTTTGTTTGTAAAGGGTAACGTTTATTTTAAAATAATAATAATAAGTTCAACTTATATAGCACCTTTCACAAACCCAAAGCAAAAAAGAAGAGAAAGCTTTGAGAAAGAAGAATAGTGGGCAGTAAAGAGGACGGCTTTAAGATAAGCTTTAGGGTACAGCAGTCATGAAGAGATTGTAGCAGAGAGTTCCGAAGTTTAGGAACAGCAGCACCGAAAGAACTGCCGACAACTGACAAGAGTCGCATTGGGGCTCCAAGAAGCCCATTGCCAGTCCAGTATTTCACTGAATGTAATGTCTTTTCTGCACAGGTGACACAAATCTTCACGCTTAACTGGAGTTTTATGGGGTGATATGCTAAATTAGAATACATCTATGGCCTAATGACAGACTTCTTGTCCATCAATAGTGTTGATAAGCACACCAACCTCAACTACTTGAGCACCATCTCCACAAGGCATTCAGTTTGCTCGCACTCTAGTAAGTCTACGTTCTCACCAACATTTAGCCCAAAATGTCTCATGCTTGTCCCCAGACATTCTTGGTACAAGTTAATTTCTTGCCCTGCATAACAAGGAGACCAGCTGCACTGCATAGATTCAGGTATTCCCTGCCTCAACACACCTGATCCAGCTAATGAAAAGCTTGGTAATGACCTGCTCCTACATGACCAGGTGTGCTGAGGCAGGGCAGTAGGTCACCAGGACTGGAGTTAAAACCCACTGGCCTAGGCTACACACAGTTGAAGGTCACCATTCTTGTTCATTTTGGCTCTAAATTCAACTGGATGCAATTTGATCATAAAGGTGTACTGCATTTGATTAATGGCTTTTGGCCTAATGATGAATTTCAGCAAGGACATAGAATCTGTCTTCATTTTCCAAAACGAAAGAAAGAAAGAAAACCCCGGCTTCAGATATGCAAGTCTGCTTCCAACATTGACCTTGAAGAGCCAACTCATTTATGATACAATACTAATCTAAAGGTGCTTTTGTGTAATGCTTGCCTACCAACATTCAAAAGCTCTAGGCTTATTGTAAGTAGAGTAATGTGACCCAGCCATTCCACTTCAGAGTCATCAAAGAGAAGAAGTGAGGAGAGCAGAGTTACTTTTTGGAGGGCTTCCAGCAGGCACACACAGTCACCAGGGTTATGAGCAAGAAAATGCCACCGGTAGAAAGGATGATATAGAGAGAACTCCGTCCTGCAGGAAAAGAAATAAAAGCAGGAGAGCTGTTGTCATGGAGCTTTTCTCTTGTTCTGAAAACATGTGCCACTGCACCCACATCTCTCTCTAGGTAAACTCAGTGCTACTGTGAAATCATATCACCTCTGCTAAACTACAGACAACACTAAAGATTTAACAATAACAATGGGCTCTGAAGGACCACACCACAGTATGGAAGAGGTCAACATCAAGTAAGACCCAAATGTCTGCTTTGGTTGCCAGGTTTCCTGAGGGCTGGAATGAATGAGGCACTGGGGGGATTTTTAAAGGGCAAAGTGTGCAGACTGAATGCTGAACCCCACTGAGGCACAGCACTGTCTCTGAACTAACTGTGTGGCAGCAGAGATGGAGGGAGAGGAAAGGATCTCTGAGCTGAACTCCAGTGGGACTAAAGTCTGACTCTTATTTTTCTAGTTTATAAACATAATTCTCTGTTTTATAACAAATAATGTTCTTTTTGTGTCATAGCATACTTTAATGTTAATGTGATGGTATTCAGGTTTACCAGTTCAGCCTATCGCCATGAATGCTAACAGAATGGCAAACATGTATTTAGCTACTTGAGTCCTTGGAAATGTGTGACTCTAGTCTTGAATAGGCCATTTATTCTTTATGATCTGAAACAACTATTTAACATAATGTAGTTATTTTAATTTATGCCGATATATTTCATAAGGAAGAGTGTTTGATTCAAGTTAACCTAATTCAAAAGTAAGCAGAACTTGGAAAAAGTAGAGTACTGTCAGCTCAGTGGAAACCATTTATATTATTGGGCTGTTTGAGTTAACCTTACTTCCTTAAGAACTGTGGATCACTGAAAATTGGACAGTAACTAATATAAAGTTATTTAGGCCTAAACCTGTTAAGTATAATATTTTTTTCAAGGCAATAAGTTTTGATTTTTAAAGTAAAGTCAACTAATTTAAGTTTACAGTGTGCTCAGTCTGATCAACATGTCCCAAAAAATTGGGACTGGGGCAATTTAAGACTAGGAACAAGAAGAAATGTTTAAAAAAAAAAACATCATAAACAAGTGATGTGATCATGCTTGGACTTAAAAGAGCATCCAGGAAAGGCCTAGTCCTTTATGAACGAGGATGGTTTGAGGCTCGCCATTTTGGTACTTAGGTACTTCATCCTTAATGGTGCATAATATCATCAAAAGATTCAGGGAATCCAGAGAAATCTCTGTGCATAAAAGAAAACTACACATGAACGACTGTGACCCTCGGCCCCTCAGGCACTGCATCTGGGCTTGAGTTTATCTGAACCAGATGGATGAACAGTCAAGAGTTCATGAGGTAAAGCATGAAAGATCATGTTTTGTATTATTTACAATTTAATACAGGTCAAATAGAGTATGTTAATCACTGCTTTCTGTTTTTATTAGCATTTCACATGCTGTCCCAATTTTTCTGGAACTGGGTTTGTACAAACTCCATACTGGAGTGGAGACTTAATGGCTTAATTGAAGCCATATTTGAATTTTTGCTGACCACCGCAACTCATCTTTTGTTATAAATGCTGAGAGTATTGTATAGTTTTGCCAATCCAGTCCACCTGCACTTTTTCCACAAAAAGCCTGATTAAGCTCAGAAGGGAATTAAAGAGCCCATATCTTGGAAAACCAAACAGAGTTTGACATAGTAAGTAAGTGCCAAGAAACCAGAACTAAACACAAAAACCTAACAACAAGACAAGTGAAAACAAACAACAGGGCCACATAGGCAATGCAAGACTAAGAGACTGCGCAAACACAGGGGTATAAATACACCGAGGGGAAACGAGAAACTCCTGGGACTAATGAGAGTGCGGGGCTACAGACTACAGACAGGTGGAACAGATGACAAGGGAGGCAGGACCAGGGAGGAGACACAGACCAAAACAACAACAAAAGCACATGGCAAGACACATGAGGGAATGAAAACAAAGACAAAAACAGAGAAAGACAAAGGCAGGATGTTACATAAGGAGTGTTTCAGCCTGGACTACTTTTTGAATGAGGCACTATACGGGGCAGCCAATGAGAACAGAGCACATTTACATATATCAGTATATGGGCACAGTAACAAAAGGGGATAAAGAGATAAGACCAGAAAATGTAAAATATAAAAATATGTAGGGTATAGGCCTATAACAAAAATAAACTAACAATACAGCAGATCTGCAAAATAAACCAAATAACATTTTTAGATTTTAGACATTGATTGTTCAAATAATTTCTTTAAGGCAGAGTAAAAAAGGTTATTTTGACCTTTTAATTTATTCTTTACTCTTTAATTTTGTCTTCCAAGAAACATGATCTCTACATGCTGTCATCTATTTTTAAGTGAAAAGAAAAATATCTAACAAGGTTCATTTTGGCATGAAGTATCATTCTGAGGAAGTAAAGAAATATTTAGGATTGGGAAAGTACTTTAGACTTCAGTCACCTCTTACTGTTACTCTGACTGAATCTAAAGTCTAAAATAAGCTGATAATTTCAATCTGGCCTGAATGTGTCTATAAACAGAAGCAGAGGCTGAAGCAGCATTGCGAAGAAAGCTCTAACTTTATAACTCTGCAACTCCTGTGACACCTTTGATGTGTTATTTTATTTTTGCATCATCGCTGCTATACAGGGCTTGATTTAATACTTTCTCTTAGAGAGAAATTCCACCATTTTTTCAAAGCTTCTGTAAAATTCAATCAATGAAATATAAAGAAATTAATTCAGAGTGGTTTTATGTGAAATTATAGAGAATCTTACAGTTTCTATACAACGATGGTAATAGGAACCAGAGGCCAGATTCACAAAGAATTAAGAAGTATCTTAGGATAGAAAATCTTCCTTGTTCCTTTTTGGGTTTACTACACATTCAATAAAAAGAGATGAGATATATTATTGTTCTTCAAAAAATATCTTGATTTCTTTTTTAAACTTGCACAAAGAACATGTAAGTGTCTTTAAAAAAAAATTTTTTTTTCCTTATGGCAGTCTCACACTTGTCTTAGACTGTAAGAACTGACAGAGTAAACTTCTTAACCTGTGACCTCTAATGAGTTTCAAAATATAATTGTTAAAATAAAACAAGAACTCTCCTGTTGGCTGTTTCCTCCACCAACACTTTGCTAAATTATTTTGAATGTTCAGGTTGTTTTTATTTTACCATCGTTTTGCTGTATTTGGGTGATGATGTGATTGAATTTAATAACTGGTTAATGGAAATATGGTATGATCGTTGGTAATCTGTACATTGTACAGTGATATTGATAGTCTACATGACTGTTAACCTATAGCCTAAAAAAACAACCATGATTTTTTTAAAGAAAAGAGTTCCTGATAGAATATATGAGAACCTCTTACCTTTTTGATATTTTTTCACAAATTGCATTTAAGAACATTCTTAACAGCTTCTTATTGTTTGTCTTAAGGTCTTTCTTAAGTATTTTTCTTAGAAGAGCTTTTGTGAGTGCAGCCCCAGGAGTCTGCAACACAAACATTTACTATCCAAAACAACCAGTGAATCTACACATAGGAAAGAAAAAACAAAAAGAGATTTCCTTAATATCTCTGTAGGTTCATCTAGACAAGGAGATCAGATTGAAAAACAAGAGATTTTTGCTTAAATCTCCAGCTGCTTAGATGTTTGTCCTGAGGAAAAGAGTCCAGTAACATTCTCTTCTTGAATTTTAGTAAAGATCTCAATAAGATCTCACATGTGCTCTGATTTGCCAAAATCATAACCTTCATCTTTATCTGCAACCAATCTCTCTAGTGTCTCCTCAGAAAAAACACATTTCCCATCATGTTTGCTGAGCCATCAAAGAGCAACATTTGAACAACAAAGTTTTAGTTGTAAATCTGAAACAATACATTTCTTGGGGGACTACTTTAACTAACAACACCCTGTGTGTATGTTTCCACCACAAATGGATATGTTTTAGCCAAAAGCTTATCTTAAAAATATAGTAAAACAATGTCTCAGGCACCACGGAGCATATTCATAACCATTCAATATAATAACTTTCTGTGAGGGAGATTTTAGAGATATTAAACTCTTAGACGTCTGGAACAATTCACATCAAACCACGCTGAAGGACGTTTTTAATATCATCATTAGGAGGCCTGTGTGAAGAGCCTACAGGTGTTTATGAGTGAGCACAGGGAGTGAAGTGTCTTAGATTTACATGTGTGTTACTGAGGAGGTGAAGATGGAGTCAGTGCACCTACTGTAGACAGTGAGTCTCACAGGCAGGCTCTTCATGCTGCCGATGGGGTTCTCCACCATGCAACTGTAGACGTCATCGTCTGACATCAGGACCCGCAAGATGGTCAGGACTTTCCGATCTTGGGACAGCAGCAGGCGCGAGTCGTTAATCAGAGGCTTCCCGCCCTTCAGCCAGCTGTAGGTGGGCTTGGTGCCGCTTTCGTGAGTGCAGTTGAGCGTGAAGAACTCGGTGAGCTCCAATACTGAGGACGCCACTAAATGCACAAACGGCCTGGACACGGGCACTGTAACAGGAAGATGCTGTCCATGAGAACTGAGCATTTTGTGTGTTCACAAAACATCTACACTCACATCAGTCTGCCGAGTTAAAATTCAAAGCCCTGGACTCTACAGGCTGGATTCTTAAATGTCTTAGGAGTTAGAATTTTATTTAAATGTGCTTTTATCCATAATTATAAATTAAGGGCATTACAGCCTAAACCTAGTGTATAATATGTTATTTAATGTGTTGTATAGTGTCCTATAGTAGCCACCCTGTACCCCTCCACCTCATGAGTTTGACAGAATTCAGGATTTTGTATTGTTTTTGTGTTGTCATCCATCAAGATTCTCTCACTACAATACCCAGCATACATTACACAAATACATCATACTACCATTTGGAATCCCTATGATGCTCATATATATACATAGCCCTAGGTATCCACCCCAAAAGCATATACAGTCCACTTCAATTATCAGAAGAAGATTTTCCTTGTCTTTACACCAGGAAATCTCACTTTAGAGACTGCTGTGACTGTGGTAGGAGGCAAATAGGCATGTACAACAGATGTAGCGGTGGTTAAATTTTTCATTTTAGCCAGCCTTTAAGAAACAAGATTAGATGAATTGTTATTCTTAATGTATTTATTACCATTTTTTCTTAAGAAGAACTCCAAGAACAAGTCAATAAGTGAAGCCTCTAAAACTATAACTTCTAATGATGATTTTGACAAAGACTGCCTACATGTGTTCTTATATCTTATCTTTAATGTATACATATAATCTATAATCTATATAACTTATGCATAAGTTAACCACCAAACACCCCAATCAACAGTCACTGCAGGTTTACTTTAAAGCTTCTTGCAGCAACAAAGGCTTTTTCTGAATGACCATAATCTTACTTTCTTCAAGTGAACACAGAACTAGTCCTGGGGCGGCTATTGTATTGTCTCAGCTGTACCTAAGTAAGCTGTTGAGGACATGGAATGAGCTGGAATGTAACCCAGTATATTTCACTGCTGATGGAATGGAATGAAGCCTCCTTCTCCTGCTTACCATCCACTGTGAGATTGACGTGTTTCTCTCCAGTGAAAGTGTCGTCTGTGATGGAGATCTCCACTTCGTAAGCCCCCTCGTCAGACAGCTGCAGATAGTTGAGCAGCAGGGAGCCGTTCTCGTACAGCAGGATGCGGCCGCGGTACTCAGGCCGCAGGTTCCCGATGATGTCCGTGCCAATGGACTGCACTACAGTGACCGGCTTGTCCCTCTTCAGCTGCCACTTGATGACAGGACGGTCGGAGCTGGTGCTGGTGTAGCTGACGGAGAGCAAGGCTGAGCTGCCAAGCGTTCCTCGTATTATTGAGGAGGGACTCGTAATGTTCACCCCACTGACGGCTTTAAAGCAAAAACATACAGCAAAACAGCTTTTACTCATATGCTCATCCTTCTCTTTTGTGCAATGATTTAGGCATGCAGATAGCATGATGCTAACTGGTGGTGTATATGCTTCCATTACTTGTTAGCTACATTAGCGTCAGCTCCAGGGCAAAAGTGAAGATGCAAACTTCGGACAGCAAACATGGCTAATCTACATCTCTACATGTAGTTCTACAATCTGCATATTTACAGATTCTGTAAATATGATTTTTGTGCTTTAACCCCTTAAAATCTCAGGCTATTACATACAAAGGCTACAGGGACTTAAGTACAAACTAGCTGAGCCATTTATAAATTATAGAAGTGTGTAATAAAACTTTGGGCCCGCTGGTGGGCCCTGGCTATTTAAGGGGTTAACCCAAAAAGGAATGCAGGGATTTAGAAAAGAGACATAGCAAAATGTTCTGTTCATATATTCTCTAGGCTCCTAGAGTGGCTGTACCATTATTATCAACCTAGAAGCACCTAGCTTGTATTCACTCTTTCCACCAAACTCTTGGGAAATTGGGAAAGTATTCAGATTTACAAATATGCTGCCACACATTGTAAAGTTTTTCAGACGTATACCGGGCATAGTTACAGTTGCTAGACTATGAAGGACCAACTGGATGAACCAGTTTGTTACAGTGCCACCCTGAGGCAGAGAAGTGCTGTATCTCTAGTCAGTTAAGAATGCCAAAAACAGGGGTTCTTTTTATGGTAGAAGCAGCTAAACAATGGCTTTTCCCTGAATTTGTATTTAGGTGTTTGTTTTTCCCTAATGAACAACATAATGTCAAAATATTTTTTTTTCAGGGACCCCCTGAATGTCTCAAAATCAAAATTCTTGGGGGGTTCCTGAAAAAAAAATATTTTGACATTATGTTGTTCATTAGGAAAAACAGACACCTAAACACAAATTCAGGGAAAAGCCATTGTTTAGCTTAAGTATTGTTTAGGTTAAGTAGAGTCTTCCAGACCCCCATCAGAACCCCCTGTATTTTGCATCTTGAATTTAACCTAAAATGTTTTCAGGAATTAAATAAATACAGTACCACCATCCAGATGATCACAATAGTGTGTGTCAGGCATTAAACGTTACACAGTAACACCTTTCTGCCATTTCTCAAGTATTATTGAGACAAGATTACATTTACATGAGGTGCCCAGAGCAAAAAAAAATAAAATATTCTAAATGAGATCTCCTCTTAATCTCATGTATTTCTCCTAGACATAGTTAAGTCCCGTTTGAAATCAGAGTGAGCTAAGCCATTTTCTCCTGTTTCTAAATTTTGGCTCCTAAGCAACAACTTCAATCAAAACATTGTGACACAATATTTCCATTAGGAAAGTGCAATATCGCATCATTTTCTTATATAGCTGTATTTTTATATATCTCAGAACTCTTTCAGCTGTCTCTCAGTGTAGAAGGGGAACTCATGCTTTTCTCATTCATCACCAGAACTGCTTACAATGAAATGCTTATTTGCTGAGGATCGTGCCAATCACAATTTTACAATCAGTTATACAACTATACAAAGTATAATGTGGTTGGACCTCATAAAGTGGCCAGTGAGTGGAAGTACAAGGTATGTGTTTCTAATAAAGTGGCCTGTGAGAGAATTGCTCTGGAAGCTTCTGCATGTTCCAGCAGATGGAAAGTCTGTTCTTCTACTCTGTCATGACAGGACTGTGTAGAGCGAGTCAGCGTGGCATGTCTCGATCGCCCTGGTAACAGTCCTCAACCTTCACGGCTTGCCAAGATGAGCTAACAAAGGCCAGGATTGTGGGCCTGCTCTCCTCCAATGAGGGGCAGCTGGGAGAGAGCCATGCTCTTGCGTGATTGGGGGGCAGTAGACAGTGGGGCCCAGTGATTCTGCTAATCAGCGCTCAGCACAATGACACAACGGTAGTGGTCAGAGACAGGCTTCGGCTACATGTTCTCCTGTTCAGACATGCCTGTTCTCCCCTAAAGCCTCCCTCCGCCTGACCCACAGTACATCCAACACCCAACACACCATCCTTACTGCAGTGTGCAGAGTCTCTGTATGCTGAGCACCACTCTACCAACCAGCAAAGACAAACAGTCCCTTTTCAATGGACCAATTGGTTAATGTACTGAATTATAATTAGGTTTAAACATGAACGCTGAATTGGTTTCAGTTGAACTACAAACTTCTCCACACTTCATGTAATAAATTTCAAATTTCAAATTTCAAGTCTTGATTAAAAGTGAGAACTAAGCTACTACATTCAATACCAAGTGAATGTGTATGACAAGCAATACATTAAAAGGCCCATATCATTAAAAATCACGTTTCTCATTTTTTCCAGACAAAAGAGTTTAATGTAGTATATAAACTTATATAAACAAAACAGCTTGTTTTAAATTCATTGTTTTTATGATGTCACCAAAGCAATGCATTAACATACACCCTCTGTACAGTTGTATGCAAACGTTTGGGGCACCCAACCTTTATTAACTTTATAACTTTATTAGTGGAATTTAACATATTTGGGAAAGATGAAACAGAAAATGTGGCCTGTGCAAATGTTTAGGCACATTTTCTATTTTAAGTTTTATTTTTTCCAATATATTAAACTGCCAAAAGATATTATGTACTAAAATTTGCAGAACAATGAAGTTTGTTCCCTGTGGAGGATGTGTTAACTTATGTTTGTTTAGAAAATCAACAAAACAATATGTAATTTGACTGGGAGTGTTCAAACTTTTGCCTACTCAGCCTACAGCAATTTAGCCCCACCCATTTATGCTGAGGTTACAAGGAGTGTGTCAAGTGAAGCTGAGGCACAGTATAGGTCAGCCTATCTGAACAGAGACCATTTACAAACATCAGCCTTAAAGGCACAGTAAGAAAGACAGCTTGTTTAATTCTAAGGCATGAATGGAAAATTGTCACATAAAAATTAATGGTGACTGTTTTTGGTACATAAACCAACACAAAAGTCCACGAAAAAGTGTATCCGTCAGAGAGAAAAAGCAAACAAAAGACAAGAAAAATGTGAGAAACGGGCCTTTTGAAAATCACCAATATAAGTTAAAACGAGTAACTTAATCAAAGCCCTAATAATTGCAGCAAGAAAGTAGCATCATGCAGCAAGAGTAAAGTATTGGTCTCTTTTCCCTGCTTTCCCTGTTTCAATTTTTTTTCCAGCTAAAGTATCGAGGAGGTTTTGTTGCTCTTGACTTACCTGTCAGGAGAAAGATGAGGAGGCAGAGTTTTTGGAAAAGTGAAGAAACGGCTGCCTCTTTGGAGGAAGGCTGCCTTTCCTTCATCTTGCGAGCAGCGCTGGGCTTCTCTCCCCCGCAATCAGCATGATTTGGCTACTCCAGGCACGTCGCTGAGAATACACAACGCTTCCTGCCAGACTGGACTGTGCCTGCTCTGAAGCCCACTCTCAGGACCCCTGCCTGAGCAGCTGTGTGTGTGTGTGTGTGTGTGTGTGTGAGGTTCTGCACAGTGCTTGTCTATTTTCAGGGGCGCCTCTGTGTGTGTTTGCCTTCATCCAATGACGAGAGTTTGTCTTTTCTGTATCACTGGGCTGAGACAGGATGAGCTAGTTTGAGTCCACATTTGCTTCCTTAGTCACATTGTCACTGCATCAATGCTATTTTCACTGCTTTTCACACCTTTTCATGTGAGAGAAATGTCTAAGCATACAGCAGATAACAATTCTAGATTCAACACATAGTGCTGAAATACCTTTTATTGATGTGAAATAGCAACAAATGAGCAAGTCCAAAGTGAAAAATATGCTCAGGGAAATCATCCTTAATGAGGGTCTATGGGGCAAGAGCTTAGGCCCACTTACAGAAGATAAAAGCTACATGAAAGAAACTGGCTCTAGAGCCCTCGGGTTCACATGTGAGCTCCTCAGAACAAGAGCCTTGAATGAATAGACTTGCTGTTAGTGAAAAAGACCCCCCCACACACACATACACACCAAACACCCCCAACTTTGTCCCATCCTCACCAGCACGGCCCTGTCTGGCCCCCTCTAAACGGGCACACAGGACACGATTTGGTACCCTGCTAACAAGCCTTACTCTCCACCCTCAGGGGAGGGGCCGAAAAGAGACTGTTTGGTAGGACGACTACAAAATTTGACTTATTTGCAAAGGGGAATTTCATAAATTTTTCTAAATTTCTGCATACTTATTTGATGATGCAAACAGTCATTCAGAGTGGTTTGATGTGAAATGCTATGTTATAGAGAAACTTACAGAATTGTTCAAAGTGGTGGTGATAGGAACCAAAAGTCTGAAGAGTTTAATGCCTCTTAAAGCTACACCAAATGATGTTATTACATAAAATGATAATGAATATGCTGCCTGATGTCAACATGCTTTTAAAATACATTCATGGTGGAGAGGTACACTAGCAACACAGCAAAGAAATCTGAGTCAGATTGTCTACAATTAAAGCTGCACCATCAAAGATTTTGGGGATTTGGAGACCTCTCTGGTGGAAATGTGTAATTGCACACAATGTGAGGAAGAACGTTTTGTAATGTTCTTCAGACTCTGATGATTGCGAGTCCATTGAAAGAGTACTCAAAGAGAACTCGGTCAAAACTTGGTGAAGGACGTGTCTTCCAAAGATGTAAGTGAATGATCTACTATTGTCATCATAGCTTCATCAGAAGCCAGAGCTTCTTTTTGAACTTGTGAGTGTGATGTTAATACATAAAGACCTGTGAGGTATTCTGAAAAACCGCCTGCAAAATCTGACCCAACATTTGTGACTTTTAAATGATTATTTCGGGCTTTGCAGGGTGACTCACAGCAGCGCACGCACACACATATATATACATGTATGTATTGTAGGACATAAGACCTTTAAACTGGAAACTTTGGCTTGTACCAGATATTCACCCTTCTTCAGCTTTAGCACTGCCAAGGTCCATAAGGCCAATGTGGCAACAGTTTGTAACTGATTGAATACTACTGCTTTCCTAAAATGAGGTGATTATTTTATGTTGAATAATGCATAACATGCTAATTATTTCTATACACCTCATTATTTTTATATATGATTAGTTAGTAATACATTTTTAGATACTAATAGCTATAAGTAACCTCCCCTCATTCATTTCTGTCTCAAGCCTGATGGAAATTTGTGTGTGTGTTGTAATTGTGAAAAACAATAAAAAGTTAATCAAAAAAAGGAAAAACAAAAAACATCTTGTGCCTCAACATGATTTCCTTCATTGTGTCCAAACTCCAGCTTTGACTGCCTAATTGAAAGTAAGTTGCATCATTTTTCCACTTTTCCTACATGACATATGACGTGTGACTAACACCTGTTTCCACCGCTGTCCCATGATGTCTGTCTGAGAGCTGATGTCACTGTGCTGCAACTGTTGTTGTTGTTGTTTCTGACATTTCCATGACGTTTAGTCTAAGAAAGGGAGCCAAATTGTGTGACACAGTAAGAGAGAGTTTGAATAAATGCTCTGGGAGCTTCCAGCGTGTCCAATAATGAAACTTAGGCAGCTCAGTGAACATTAGAGAGAAAGAGTGCTACAAAAACAGCAATGGAGCCAAACACTAAAGCAGCTTCTTACTGAGCACATGGTCCATGCGTAGCTAAAGAGTCTCCCCTTTTCAGCTAATCAGAGCTTCAGTGAATGAGGCACAATACAGGGAAAATACATGAGAGCCACCCCTTGCTCACACACACCCACACACACATACACACACACACACACACACACACACACACACACACACACACACACACACAGGCTTTGGCTTTTGTTCTCAGGATAAAAGTCTCCTCCTGTGTTTTTCATCTTCTGAAGATCTCAATCAAGTAAAACCACCCAAATGCCAGTGAAGAAGGTCAGCAGAGCATGAAGAGAGTTCAGAAGGATCAGTGAACTCGCACTGCGAAAAGTCACCTCAAACATAAGAACTATGACCAGCAATCTGTGTTATTTAAGATGTTCACTCATTCACTGTAGGCCTTATAGACTTATATCTAGGATATACACAGTACTGTGCAAAGGCATCTGAGAAAATGATATGTAAGTTTAATGCAATGACTGGAGTGCAGCAAGAGGTCAGGAACCAAACCTGTGTTCTGATATCAAAATCTGACCAATAACTATCAACAACTTTTAAAAAACTGATATGTTTTACCATCTATTCTAATTGCCTTTGAGGTCAGAGAACATCTGGACCACATTTCAGACATGGACATTAATGAGTTCAGCTGGCATATAGCTGCTCTGTAGGACACGATATTGTCCACTAGAGGGCAAAAGATTGTAGAAATTACCCTCTGTTACTCTTGGAGAAAGCCATAACATAATGCAAAACTTCCAAAGACTTTACGAGAGTTCACACACAGCAGGCACTGACAATAACTGTCACTTTACCTTTACTTGATTTAAATAGACTGTACAGTCACTACTTTCAGTCACTCACTGATTTCCAGACTAGAGTGGAAATGAAGAAGTCATTCTCTGGAGCTTATGCACATATGATCTCAGCATCTATAAATATAATGTATTTCTGAGCTGAATGTGTTCGGTGCGTGGAGTGGAGATGATGCCAGACAGGGCTGTCAGCAGCAGCAGTCTAGGGGGAGAAGACAAGAGCCATAACAGCAGAGAGAGAGAGAGAGAGAGAGAGAGAGAGAGAGAGAGAGAGAGAGAGAGAGAGAGAGAGAGAGAGAGAGAGAGAGAGAGAGAGATCACCGCGCTTTGGGTTGCCATTGGCAACCTGTAAAAAAATTGCTGATGGCAGCCTGTAACTCCTGGAGCTGGTGACAGGATTCATTGTGAGGATTTTCCTTCAGAGAAGCTTCTGGCTGCTTTAGGCCTGGTGCATGTGGGAGTCAGTGTGGGCGGCCAGCAAGCTCCACTGCTCATTTCTCTTCCTTGGGAAGAAGCCAGCTTCGGCCATGAGCATGACAAAGACGACAATTACTCTCTCATCCTGCCTTGAGTGAGAGACTTTGGCTTGTTTGGGGGCTCCTGAGCGATTGCCTCTCATCCTCTTGCCTTCATCTAGTGCTGGGTAGAGTGTGAACTGTTCAGTCTTGTTGAGGTAATCTTTTGGTTGAAGAAACTTGCCAAAACCACTGAGGGGGCATCAGAAATAAATCAAGGTACAGAGTAGGAAAGTGTGTGGCTATTCAAAATTATAATGAAAAGCCTGGCTGCCTGTTCATGATCTTATAACCGGAAATGAAAAAGTCCCTGAATATACTGGAATGTCCCATGCTTTAATTGCTAATTTGTGGAGATTACCACAAGCAAAAAATGGAAGAGTAGTGCTTCTGGGGTGGTCTATGCCAAGGTAAGCAGCTGCCTGGGGCCCCTAAGTGCCAAGGGCCCCATAAAAATGCAAATTAAATATACTGTACATGTTGATGTTAGGTAACCTATTATAATATATATAAACAATTAAAAAAAAGCTATTATTTACTGCCATTACAAGTTACTAATTACTTCTCTTAAAATGTAATAGCATTATGTTACTATGTCTTAAAACAGGTAAAAAGATCTGCCAGTATGAGTGAGATATGCCAGTATGTTAACAACAGTGGATGCCAACTGCAGCACCAATACACTGTTTTCAGTGATTACATGTATGTTTCAGGCTTTATCTGATGTATAAGTGCTATGTAGATTAATTAAGTCTTTATACTACACTTCCAGGGCCATTCTACATACTTAAAAAGTAATCTGCACACTACGGCACAGCTCTGGTATGAGCTATGCAGACTATCCAAATTTTCCCCAAAGCCTAACTCAGGGTACAAAAACTAAAAATGAGGGTGAAATCCATAGAACTGGGTCTGTGATTTGCCAGTGTGATGACATGGGGATCACACCTATGTTCCCAGTTCCCTATATTCCCTCAACTCTTGAAATACCTCAACATGATATACCTCAACATGATACTTTATGGAAACCTATGCAAGGGTTCCTAAGGTCATGGTTAGGGTCACCAAAGGTCATGCAACAAGGGTTCCTAAGGTCATGGTTAGGGTCACTAAAGGTCATGCATTGCATGGCAAGTAGACCACTTCAGGTATAAAAAGGTTTAAAAAGAGTACCATGATGTATTGTTTTTCTTTTACTGCTGTTAGTAGTTGTGTAGCCCTTAGCTCACTACTAGAATACTAGCACAGTAAATGGAACAAGTAGTTTACTACATAAAGCCCAGTTTAAATGTAATAAATTGAATGTCATATTATACAGTAAATCACATGTCACCTGAGCTAATGCCCTGGGAACATAGGGATGACTCTGCAACACAATAAGTTAAGTTGGTTAAAAAAAATGGTTTAAAACACAATTTTTTTGTGGTCAGTTGTTGCCTACAGGATTAGATGAGCCTATGTGACTCTACACAGGTTTGTTCACTTGGGGAAACTGAGTGATTCAAAAGACAAATGACCTAACAGCACTCACGTTTTTGGATGGTGATTGTTTTCAAAGTGCTGTGTGGTGACAAAAACCTACTGAGAGTTCAGTGACATACTAGTTATATAACAATACACAACAGACTATGGGTGTGCATAAGCCTTAGTTGTGATTTCATGGAAATATGTCTCCAAAAGATTCTTTTTTATTCTTTGTCTAAGTTAGTGGGATTCAGATAGCGATACTAATGTGTACAGTAAGCCTGCAGAGACACGTTTGTCATACACCCCTAATGAAGTGCCATATGCCTTTGTTTAATTGTGCTCCACAGTGTATGTTCCAATTAACAGCAGATCTGTGTAATGGTTGGGTAAGTATACTTTGTCATGGGAAATTAAGCTCATTATTTACTTTTTTTAACAGGAGAGCACCAGCGGCTACATTTTCACAAAAAGAGAACTGCTAGTGTTCTTTATACATGTTAGAAGTTTATACTAAAATGGATTTTTGTATGCCATAATGAAATAATTCTGTGAGCTTTTTAGAGCTCCAGCACATCAGATTTTAAAGATGAGCAAGTTTGTTGGAGATACACCACTACAAAACCACCAGTCACTTCATTAGATTCACCTGACTTGTTGTACAGTTAGAGACTGAAGGCCTTCTCTTATCATGCACAGTCAGTAGCTGACCACACAGCCGCTCTAGGCTGGATATTTTTGGGTGGAGGACCACTCTCAACCTAGCAGTGAAAAAAACCCAGCAACACCGCTGTGCCTGAAACACTAGTACCAGCACCACACACAATACCATAGCACTACCATGTCAGTGTCACTGCTGTGTTGAGAATAATCCACCCCCCAAATATCTGGATGTTGACTAAGTTACTGTTATTTTATTACCACAGCTTTTTGCAGTTGAAATTAAGTAATGAATATAAGCTCAAAGTGCAGAGTTGAAGGTATTAACATCCAATTCTGGTGAATGTTGTGGGAATTACAACCATTTTCCTCCATAATCTCAATTATTAGGGGCTCAAAAATAATTGGATGATAGGCTGCTCAGAAGTTCCATGGCTAAGCGTGTGTTATTTCTTCATTATTTCCCTTACAATAAGCAGATAAAAGTCTAGTTTTGATTTCAAGTGTTGCATGAAGCGTGGAATCTGTTAACTCTCAATATGATGTCAATGGATTCCAGACTTCATGCAGTCAAAGAATTTGCAACCAAGTATTTAAAAATGACAATTCAATTTATGATTGTTAGTTCGGTGGACTATAGTCTGTAATTGTACACCTATATAACGGTCTATAAAGTAGGTGGGCCTCATAAAGTGGTCAGTGAGTGGAAATGCAGTAATCATGTCTAACTAATGCAACGCACAATCCAATTAATTAAGACAATCTAAGCAAGAAACAAATACATAAATAAATAAGAAAGAATGATGGTTTGTATCCACAAGACCACATTAGAGCACCTTCATGGTACCCCAAAGAAATAAGGCTACAGATCCTCTGTGGTAGTTAATACTGAATCACTGAATGTATTTTCCTATTCAAGACTTCAACTCATTCAGTGCCATTAAATCTGTGATGACAGTGGTTTAGGTTTCTAAGTGTTCCCCTACAGGTACAAGCTGATGAAGTCCATAATGGTTCTACATGGAGCTCTTTCTTTAAAGAGTACATTGATGGCATTAACATTGATTGAAACCGCTGGTTGAGGAGATCATAATTAAACCTCACTCCCTCAGGGCGTGAGGAAACAGGTTAATAGTACTGCAGGCCTGACTGATAGATCCTGAGTAGTAGTACGTAGGGAGCAGCAGCAACGTTTGATGTCAAAGGTTCATTTGACCATGACAAACGATTGGCCAGGCTCATTAGCCAGGTTTCCAGCTGGGAGTCCCCAGCGAGCTCCTCGAGCAGGACTGATGAGAGAGATGCGTGGGTTAATATTTCAGACGCCGCCTCCCACCCAACAAACTGCCTAAGCTTTCGGGCTTCACCTTCTCTCATGAAAGGCCATCAAAAGACTAATGATCCTCAGCGAACAGCGTGAAATCATCTTCTATGCAGGAAAACACATTTCAGAGCTTTTATTCGGTTTGCTGCTGATACAGTGCTTCATTAAACTGTGTACATGCAAAACAATCTTTACAGTCTCTAATAAAACTTACATTCCTAGTCAAATCAATATTCTTACAGTCCTCGAAATACAGTAACTGTGACAATTTCAAAAGAAGGATGGAAAGAAAGAAAGAAAGGAAATCCAGCCATGCTAATTGCTGTTTTGGAAGCTCTGATTTCTTTTTTCATCTGATTCTACAGACTGAGAAGAAAAAGATTAAGATTAAAGGGTGCAAAGCAAACAAATAACAATTTTAACATAAAGTAAAACATTAATTAATAGCAATAAATACATCTCTCTCAATAAATTACACAGCTCATCTCATGATGTCTGCTAAACACGAAAACCTAAATGACTAAAAAAATCCTAAGAACATACTACGTACTACATAATGAAAGCAATCTCTCTAGCATTGAATATCAAATACAAAAGACAACCATGTTGCATAACTTCAAGACTAAAGTTACTTAGAAACCGGACTCAAGCAGTATGTGTTAAAACTCTAAGGGCATTCCTTGTCACTTTCACACCAACATCTGGACTAGGACACGATCAGGAAGAGCACAGATGCATCAAGTGCATGCCCGTGAGATGCAAATGCATGCTGGTTTGGGGCAACTATTCACCCAGACTGGATAAGAAGCAGAAAAGAGAGAGAGCAATAGAGACCGTGAGAGAGACAGCGAGGGAGAGAGAAGGTGTTCAGGTCAGACGAGATATCCAGTCAACGACTACTGCTTTTCTCTACATAAAAAGGTACATCTCTAGAAACAGGGCCAAAAGTCATCGTGCTGTCCACAGAGTGACGCATCCTCACTGCTCCGGCACGGACGTGTCGTCTGTCTCTACTCCTTCTGATCCTCCTGCTGTCCAAACAACAACAGATTTAAAAGGTTTAGTATGGCCTGCTAAATGTCATTCATCATCAAGATTTTACTTAAGGTGAAGCAACGTCTGTCCATGATCTGATTGTAGTGCCTTCTATCTGAAACTTAACAAGCTGTATAAATAATGTCGCTAAAGTGCAATGCAGCTTTAACAAACCAGGAAACCTTAAAACAATCATATTTAATTGTATATATAATTGATCGTTTTAAGCATATTCTTGTTTTGCTTTAATCTTTTTAACTTTTGGCCATATATATATATTATATATATATATAAATATATATATATATATATATATATATATATATTATATATATATATATATATAATCACAAATAAAGAAGGAATTTCGTAAAACTGTAATAATGTGTTAATCATAGTTAAATAATTACATAATTGTTACTTGTGCATTAAAGTGCTACCTTTTGAATTACTAATCATTTACATAATAACATACAAATGCTTGCTTTTCATAAATGTATAATATTTAAGTATACTAAGTAATACAAAACATTTTCATAAACACATGATAAAATGATACCTTCATAATGGGGGTTAAATTATTATTATGATTATTAATGTTCAGAACAGTACATCTTAACCACTTAATATTGGGGTGATTAACTAAGCGTTAAGTAAATAATCACAATTATTATTTAGCACCTTATTAAGCCATGGCCCAAAGTTTTATTAAACACTTCTATAACCTAAGAAAAGCTCCACTAGTTTGCATTAAAGTCCCTGTAATGAATAATAAGCTTTAGTATGTAATAAGCCTGTAATGTTAAGGGGTTATACATAACTGCATTAACTTGACTAAAACGGTAGTAGTTTTTGCTAAATATCTCCAATATTATGTATGCAACAGTAAGACTTTTGAATAATCATTACTGCTATGAAATTCATATTAGACTAGGGAGTTATATAAATTCAGGCATATTCAAGTAATAAATTTAGGTATTTTCAACTCCCTAGTCTACACTGCTGTGTTGAATAATTTGTTCGTCATATCCATAAATATATTGCTGAGGTCTTTGCTGTACATCTCATATTACAAATTTCTGTTCAGCCTATTATGCTCTAATATGTGAATACATACAAGTTTCAAAGTATTATGTACATAGCAGGAAATATGGTTATCCTGATTATTTCCAAATACACCATGATATGCTTTTTAGGCCATATCACCCAACTTAAGTTAGACGCAGGCCTTCATTTTGGTTCTTGCCTCGCTAAGACAGAGCACATTCTCTCAGGCTCATCTCAGTGGTGCAGATGCACCTGAAGATAAAAATAACAGCTCCATACATAAAATGCTTAGCAACCAAGAACTGGGTTGATGTTGCACGACAAAAAAAGGCCTAAATTCCCCGGCCTTCTTCAAAGGTGGGGTACAGCAGACCAGCGCAGCTGAAGGAGAGAAATCTAGGCCTGGTGATGTGAGGGACTGGAAGGACACACTCACTCTCATTGCCTGCCCCACTTTCCACATCAAATGACCAGCTTTTTTCCTTGGTTTCTCCTCAGATTCATCAAAGGACACTAATAGAGAAGTTCAGGTAGAAGTGCAGCTAGACAGAATTTTGCTTGTGGAACATGTTAGACGTGATCTTTTTTTGATCTCTGCTGACTTTTACTGCTGCATCAAAGTGGATTATCTGCATTTCTCTTGATGATACTTAGAGAAATTAATGTTTGGAAGTAATTTGCATGGCAGTTGAGTTAGGGGAGGAGGTTACCCTACATATCTGTAAAACTGTGTGTTTCTAAGTATAAAAAACATCGCTGAGGAGAAATTTGGTAAGAAGAGAAAAACGTATTTGAGCTCTCTTCATATTCGGTTCTGGAAGAAGTGTGGAGGCTTCAGCCACCCACAGTAGCAATTAGATTTGAAAGATTTATGTCTCAGCTAAAACGGAGACAAGCTCAGAATATCACAGATGTGAGGTTTCCTTCTGTAGATGCATTACCTCTCTGATCACTTGCAGTCTAAGGAAAACAGTAACACTGGTTGCAAGTGGTGTTCGTTTTAATGATGATCACAGATCACTTATTCATTCATTAAAAATCACCACATGAAAAGAATCTTAATTGCATGCATTTCACAAGCCTGAGCTCTAATTTATGCCTAAAGATCTTATTAAAGACGCTTGATGGATTTTTAGCTTGCAACCTTTTTCATATGCCTTCTTTTACTCACAGTGATAATTAGCGTAATTACTCAGCAGCACCTCGCCACGTTTGAGTATGTTTGTGCAGTTTCCAATTCCAGACTCTCAGAACACAAGCTGATACTCAAATGTTTGAGGATGCAGAGCCAGTTCTTGGAAACAAAATAAAGAATCGAGGCCAAACGCTTCACATCCTTCGTCGCTTCAAATCTTGCAGCCAAAGTCTTATTTTGGGTGCTGGAATCTGGATCAAGAGTCACACTGAACTGTGTTCCAAAAAAGGAAGCATGATTTGGAGATGGGCGAATTACTGGGCTTATAGAGGTCCAGAGTCTATGGCAGGGGTCATCAAATCTGGTCCTGGAGGCCAACACTGTTTGGTGATTTCCTATTCTTTTGAAGCCAGATGTGATCTCACGGTGTGAATACACACCTGTGGAAAACGTCTTAAACTACTGGTGTTGGATTGTGGCAAAATATACTGCTGACACGAGTACGCCCCCGACCCAAATTCCTCTGGTCCATTTTTAACGTCTGGAGTACAACTGATAAAACTACTAGCAAAGCAAGCTAGCTAGAAACGCAATCGTTAGCTAAAGGAACTTTCCCTTGCAATTAATAATGTTTGTTTTTTACTACGTGTAATGTGGCGTGTGCAATGCTAACTTACATTACATTGATGGGCTAATGACAGACTTGTTGTTCCCACCAACATGTACCCCAAAATTTCTCATGGCTGTCCCCAGATATTCCTGAGACTAGTGATGTCCCTGCTCTACCACACCAATCTAATCTGGTCATTGACTGATGAGCTGATGAGAATCATGTGTGTTTATTCAAGAATATCACCCTACCCTCCCGGACCTGAATCTCCGACCCCTGGTCTACGTCTATGGGAAGTGGGGACAGACACTGACCTGTGTCCCCCTGGCTGCCGTTGAGGGCCTCACCGCTGCTGCTCACCTCCTCGCCAGGCTTCTCGCCTGGCTTCAGCTTCTTCCTGGTCATGTGGCCACGGAAGCCCGCCTGGATCTTGGTGGCTGCCTTGTTGGCCTCTGGGTCATCCAAGGGGATGTCCATGACGTCCTCTTCCTCCTGTGGGTGGCTGCATTCCTCCTGTTCACCAAGACATCCAAGCAGCTATCATTTCAACGACACACAGACGTCGAATGATTTCTGCCTTCACTTGCTTGGTAAACGATTCTGAATGTCTCTAGATGAGCTATCTTCATGTCTTCTGATCTCCAGCCATCTAAGAAGTTGCTGCATTTTCTCGACTCAAAAATAGCAATATTAAAAAATGTTCGCTATTTGCTCCATACCTCCACTAAGGCTTTACGAACAAAGCTATGGAAATGATCCTGAATGTCTTGGGAGAACCTACACTCATAAACCAGTGTGATGGGTTTATCCCAATCTCCAGCCGTCTTAAGCCTTTTCCGTCCCTACCCAGCTGTGTATCTGTCTGTATAGAGCCCAGATTTATTACAGAAGTTCAAATCTCTGGCTCACTTCCCACTTGTACAAAAGAAAGATACTAGTAGACTGTTTTTTTTTCTAATTTTGGAACTAAGAAAAGAACACAGAAAAGTAATTAAGACGTCAAAGTTGGGATCATTTACAGAAAGAAGATTAGAATTACTTAACCGTTCTGAGGCTAAAAACATACGCTTTATAATTCCCGGAAAAGGAGGACACACAGCTGTCCTAGTCTTCAGGCTGTGTGTTGGTGGGATTTGGCTGGATCACGCTGGGTGTTTATGAGGCTCTGAATGTGTGAACCCATGCTTTTCTCCCACTGAGCCCATCTCAGCACATGTAAAGGCAGTGAGCAGTGGCTGGCGGGGTTGAAACAGAGCCTGTGTAAGGTTGAAGAGTGTAGCCTACATGTCGCTGTGAAACCCCTCCATGTAGGAGTGTGACCACCCACTGAAGCAAGAATTAATCAGCTCCTTTTCTGTTTGCTGAACATCCTGACATGTCTTCTCCCATATCATGGCCAAAGGCAGAGGTGTTGTACAGGCTTTAGTCCTTAAATAAACATCCCTACATTTTACTTGCTGGTTGTATAATTTAGCTTATGCAGTTAGTGTCAAGGAAATATAGTGACCAGAGACTTGCAATGCATGCATTGTTACAACTATTATGATCACATGTAGACACAAGCTGATTTGTCCAGATTTTCTGAATGTAAAATTTCTCTATACTTTTTTGAAGAAGGACAAAGCATTCATTCTTTAAAGCATGGTCCACTGTTACAGCTCAAATAACTCAAAAGATAACCATTACGGCATGGCCAGAACTGAGTGGGTCCCTTGTGGCCGTGCACCTAAGGTGCTCCAACTACCTGCCACCTGCTCTCCCATTTACGAGGAAAGAAGTTGCGCTTGAGCTTCTGCTATGCAGACTTTGCCAAGAGTGCTTTCAGGCATGCTCATCAAGAAAGCGTACAGTAAAAGTTACAGTAAGAGAAACATCTTCTACTCAAAGCACAAGACATTCTGAGAACTCCTTTGAGATCCGCAGTATATTAGTGTATTCTACTGGACGGCTTGTGTAAAATGTAGGCAGTACTTACGATATGGCAATCCATGACGCACAATAGCAGATGGCGATAAACGTGTTCGTGTATTGTGCTAATCGCAATGGGTCGTAAACCTCTTGGCACTGCGAGTGTCTCGAACAAGCCCGTCTCTCTTTCAGCTATGCTTATTATTCTCAATCTGAGGGCGGGTGGAAAGGGAGGAGAGGGAGAGAGGGAGGGGAGGAGAGAAAAGGGAGGGAGAGAGAGACATAGAGGGACAGAAGGAAGGAGGTGAGAGAGAGCGGGAAGGAAGGAGAGAGAGCATGAGAAAGAGAGAGAGGGGGGCACCAGCAGCATATGCATCTATGGAAAAGCTACCCAAGAGATTTTTGCTGTTCACAAATGACTAAGTCTACTGTGCCAATTACAACTCTACTTTCATTCTGAGTTGACTGAAATGTCTTGTGTTCCAAGGTTTTCAGTCTAAAGCACTATTTCACAGTGGTGTCATGAATAAAAAAGTATAGCGATCGACACCATGGTGCTTGTAAAACCTAAGAGAGGAAGGAAAAATCAAAACACCCAAAAAACAACAGAAAAAAGTCCTCGCATATCTCCTGTACTGGTGCTAAAAAAATGCTGAAAGTATGTCCTTCTTGTCTGTTAAGACTCTTCTTCCTCTGCTAAACTGCATTCTGCCAAGATGCTGCATCAAATCAATTTGTAATGTTTAGCATTACAGCTTGCCTCCAATTAGCTTCAACCAACAAGCTTGTGGAAAAAAACAGAAGCCAGAATGATCTCAATACATTTACAAGTATGAAAACTAAATATGTCTTCAGAATATCTCAGAAGACGAGAAGAGCAGATTACTTTACGACTGTGTCAGAGATTGATGATTGCCATGAATATTGCACCTGAAAATAGTAACTACATCATTTCCTGCTTTTCCTAAAATGTAAAAGTCATTGGACATGATATAGGTCAGGTTAGATGACCTACATTAGAGAGACAGAGAGTTAGAAAGAGGAAGAGAGAGAGAGAGAGAGGGAGAGAGAGAGAGAGAGAAACTACACCTCACAGATCTAATTACCCCTGTAGAACTTAACGCACAGCACTGAACTGTCAAGATGGGCTTCCATGACAGACGTCTCTTTCTGTGATGTGAGGTATCTACTGTAAAACGTAAAATGAATCCACCCTGAGATAAAGCAGGAGAGAATGGTTGGTAACATGTTTCCATGGAAACACTCTCATAAATCTTTCTCCTCCAAACTTCCTTTTACAAGAACCATATAGAAATGTTTCTGACATTTTTGTGCCAGTATCAGACACCCCTGATTTTTTTAGGTTGAATTTACTCGGATGAGTCTATTTCACTGAGAATGATATCTGTTTTAAGAGCAACGTGTAGCTTAACAGTTTGTGCTCTGCATCTGAACGATACAGTCTGTTACCCAGAAGCTGAACTATTTCAGGGGCATCTTCAATCACGCTCCTCTAGAGACCAGAATAGAGGCACTGCACCTCGTTGTTGATCAGAGTCGTCCTTGAGGTTTTTATTTTTACATGCTAACATGGGACAAAAATGGGAATGTCCTAAATCCGGGATAAGGGGGTCTCTTACATCAGAACATTTTCTGTTGACCAAAAATATTTTTCCAGATTCAGATCAAACATTACTATTCATCCTAATTCTCCTCACCTGTTGGTCACTCTTGCTTTCTGCATTCTCCATCTCCTTGTCCTCACTTTCCTGGCTGATGTCCTGCTGGTGGTTAGACTGTTCTTCTTGGTCTATATCTGTCTCAGGTTCTTCACTCTTCAGCCCTTGTGAATCTGCAAGGATGACCTCAGTCTCCTCAGGTATAGGACTGTGAGAAGCTCCTTCAACTTCTTGAGTGCTTGTATTGCCAAACAAATGGTCTTCCTTCATCTCAGTCCCACTGATGCCATTATCTTCTTGATCATCACTTCCAGTGGGGTCCTCAGACTCAGGTAATTCCTGCTGAGATATTCTTACATCATCTTCTTTCATTTCCTCAGTGGAAGTGCCAATGAGACTAGTGTTACTCTCCAAAGCTTCCGACTTCTCCACTGGAGCATCAGAGCTGCTTTGAAGAAGAAGATCAGTCTCCTCGTCATTACTCTTCACATCTTCTTCCATCTCAAAGGCACCCTGATGGGGATCAGTGCTCATAACTCCATCAGCAATGACTTCACTTTTGTCGACACAGTCACAATCATCATCATTTTCAGAAGCTATGTTTACAAAATGCTCAATTTCTGCACTAGCAATGTTGCTATTGTCCTTTTCCAGACTTGATAAGGACTCATCCATGGCCTCCGTTTCTGCCAAAGCATCCTTTGGTTCCTGGTTTTCAGTTTCCAGATCTGTACTTGTTTCATCAAAAGTGGTCATCCCTTCTGGAACAGTGATGCTTTCTGCTGCTTTGTTTAAACTGAACTGCTCAACATGACTATTTTCTCCCTCAGGTTCTTCAAACAAAGCATCAGTCATTTCAGAAAGAGTGTTCTGAGCTTCTTCAGAAAGGTCATCAATTTCTTTCTCTTCCTCCACTGGGACAGCAACTGCTTTTTCATTGTTTGAGAAGTCATTTAACTCTTCAGCAGCATCCTGCTCAGTATGTGCTGGGGACTCATAGCCAGTCAGAGTCAGTTTATCATGGGTATACAGGACATCTTGAGATTCAGACAGTTCTTCCTCGCCGAGGACAGAAACTCCAGTAAGACTCGCATCAATCATATCTCTGCTGCTCTCAGTGTCTTCTTTTACAGGATCATCTTCCTGCAAAGTAGACTGCAGCTCTTCAGCACATACATATACATCCGCAAGACCACGATATGAGGACAGAGGTGTAGGCTCAAGTTCTTTATCTGCTGTTTCTTTTTCTTCATCAACCTCACCAGTTTCTCCTTGCTCCTTGATCTCCACGTCTTGAAGTTCTTCAGCACATATATCAACATCAGCAGTTCCTCTGTATGAAATCTCTGCAGTGAGTCCAGGATCAGTTTCACCTGATTGATCATCTACTTTATTATCAAGCTCATTGCTTTGCTGTGGCTCCAGCTTTTCTTCATCTTTAGAGGCATCAGGGGTCTCAGATGAAGGTGAGGAGCTCTGAGCTGGCTGGATAATTGGATCCCCATTTTCTAAAGATTCAGCCTGATCAGCTTTGTCTCTGAAAGTTGACATTTACATATAAGGACAATTAAGTGGCAATTAAGGGTGACTCATAATGTAGGCTAAATTGAAGCAACCGTCACAGTGATAAATTACTGGCGGTGTACTGTAGATGTAGATCTCTGTTCTGGCGCTCTAATCAATCCTCTGAAGCAGCTCTTCTTATCTAATGCATGACTAAAGATCTTTCTTGTCAAGAGTAAGCTTAACTGATGCGCTCCATTTCCACACAATGCAAGGCCCCATTTCCAAAAAAGTTGGGACACTGTGCAAAATGTGAATAAAAATAGAATGCAATGATATGAAAATCATTTAAATCCTATATTTAACATCATAACTGTCGAAACTGAGAAATTTTATTATTTTTGACAAATGTAAGCCTATTTTGAATTTGATGCCAACATTGTGTTCCAAAAAAGTTGGGACGGGGTCATGTTTACCACTGTGTTGTGATAACAAGCCGGACGGCCCCTTTCCTCTTTAGCTCGGAGGACGCGGCATCCACGATTTGCATGGTACAGTTTTAACTTGCATTTGTGGATACAGTAATGAACTGTGTTCATAGACAATGGTTTTCAGAAGTGTTCGTGAGCCCATGCAATGTTTCTACTATAGAATCATGTCTATTTTTAATGCAGAGCTGCCTGAGGACCACATCAGTAATGGCCAGCCAGTAATGGTTTTCGGCCTTGTCCCTTTCATACAGAGATTTTTCTAGATCCTCTAAATCTTTTAATGACATTATGTACTGTAGATAAAGAAATACCCAAGTTATTTTGTTATTTTATGTTGAGAAACATTCTTGAATTGTTGCACTATTTGCCGTGTTTTTTTTAGCACTACACAACTTTACCCTTTTTTTGTTGACCCGGACCCGCCTTTTAAACATGTTGATGGCATTAAATTTGAAATGGGCATATATTTTAAAAAAAAACATACAATTTCTCAGTTTAAACATTTGATATGTTGCCTTTGTACTATTTTCAACTGATATAGAGTTTAAATGATCTGCACATCATTGCATTTTGTTTTAATTTATATTTTGCATAGTGTCCCAACTTTTTTGCAAACGGGGTTGAAAAACATGCTACATTTCAGATGAGGCTGTAAAATGCAGGGAATATCACACACGACCAGAATAACCAAAACAATGGATGAGTAAAATCCAGAATTATTTCACCTTTTATTCTACATTCTGTCTATCTCCCTGTCCTTCCTCCTTTTTAATCAAGTGAAATCAGAAAACAGATGGATGCAGCCTTGCTAATCTGATACATTTTGCAGGGAGAAATCAGACTCACTCATTCACAGAGCTCCCAGTTGCTGTGGCTGAGCTGGAGTTTCCTTGGTTTGCTGTATTCTGTTTGAGGAAGAATAAATAACCAAAGCCTGAACGAGATTATATATAAAGGTCAAATTAAACATTTTGTCTTCAACCTCCAACATTTTTATTTCATGTACTGAAATGTATCTATGTACAGACTCAAGTTACCTTGAAAGTATGATTGTTGTAGAACCTGTCCTCCAGCCGGGCACCCCATTCAGCTGGATCAAGGCCACTTTCTACAAAAAAGAAATTGCATATTCATCACAAAGGCAAACAAGGAAAATTACACATTAATGTAAAGATATCTTCAGGCTCAAATAAACCTAGAAGGAGATAAGGAACTGTCTCGTGTAAATAAAAAGTACTAAATAAGAATGATATCTTCACATGGCATCAAAGTGTTCTTAAAGGTTGAACAAGTAAATGTAGAGTATTTATTGCCAGAAGACTTACAGACTGTACAGTGAAGTTTTTTTGTCAGGATTTGGTAAGCCTAACTTCTCAATCGTAGATAAAACACAAATGACACCACTTCATGTTGACAGTGGGCCATTTCTTTGGTCTTTGTATCCTAATTCTTTTAAATGGGAATTCCACCAGTTTTTGTTTTGATGTGAATTGCTCTTTTTTTGGATAAACTTCAGGAAAATTCACAAATGTTAGGTGATAGGAACCAGACGTCTATAGCATTTAATTCTTCAATAAGCTATGTCAAGTTATTACATGAAATGATTACAAATACATTGACTGATGCCTGAGAGCTCATTTTACAATCATTTTGAGAGAAGTTCTGGCCTAAAATACTTTTGGTAAAATCCATACATGACAAAGAGGTATATGTAGAGTGTCATTAGGCAAAACAGAACCCAAGATAAGTTATTTTTTTGGATTTACCATTTAAGAACTATGTTTATTTTATGCCTGTCAACATTACATATAAAAACTCAGAACACAGTGTAGGTTTACTGGTTGTTTTGCATAATAAATAAAATGACACTGAATTACTTTGTTTACATCTCAGCCATTGAATTATACAAAATTTTTTAAAAATTGGTGGAATTCCCCTTTAAAGCCATGGGTTTACCGATACTACTGACACATTATTAACCTGTAACTTTTACTTTTAGTTTAAATAAAATGGAAACCAAATAAAATAAATGACATCCTGAATGAAACATGTAAATCTATATAATGTTATTAAGAAGACTGCGTCTTAAATAAACCGCATTTTTGAACCATGTAACCAAGGTTTTCACTTATTCACATCAGAAAATGGAGTAAAATTACCCTCTCTTTGTTTGAGAAGTGCTGTGAAGTACACAGCAGCAAAGGTGGGGATGTCTTCAGGCTGTTCTCTCAGCACTTCTCTAGCAAGGCCCTCCAGAATATTTCCAAAGCCACGTGGAACACGAAGGTTGGTGTTGGAGAAAGGTACAGACATTTCTGCATCTAACACTCAGGACAACTAATATAAACAAGTAGGTTTCAGTCACAAATGGGTCACAACAATTAGCCACGTGAGTTGGATATTTACCTTGCCTTCCTAGAGACCATCTCAGTTTTTTTAAATAGCCCATATCTGACATTGTTCTTGCATTTTATTTTTCCCGTGAGGTCGACTTATAATGTTTGTGTAGGTTAATGTACCACTTCCACCCTCCATACACTCTCAGAAAAACAAGGTAAGAAACTGTCACTGGGGCAGTAGCCCTCTTGTCACCGGGGAGGGTCCCTTCAAGGGTACATCTCAGTACCTTTAGTCAGGGAACATAATTATACAGTAATCCACTGAAATTATATATTCTAAGCTGTATTGACTCCACACACTACCGTCTCGTCTCCAGGTTCTTTATTTTATTGTTCTGTTTTTAAACTTTAGGTTATGAAAAAGTTCAAACAGGCACATTTCCTCTGGGAAACACTTACGTAAGGTACGCCTTGTATTGTGTCTCATTCCAAAAAAAAAGCATTCTGGACTGAAACATTCCTTATAACATGAGCGTGAATAGGTAGAGCTTAACTGCTGAAGTGGCAACATAAAACAATGAATTTAAAATTAGCTGTTTTTCTTTCAGTTTAATTTCAGTATATATGGACTGCATGGACTGGGGAGAGAATGGTGTATTTTAAAATGTTAACAATTCCAAACTATTAAAAACATTTTGATCATTTTATGAAAAACAAAAACAAAAAAGCAAGGAAAATTTATCAATTCTGTTTGATGATATGAGACCTTCACCAATGTAACAGCTTCTATTATTAACAGAGTAGCAGCACTCACATTGTTTTTATCGCTGGATAGTTAAACCCTTTAAAGGGGAATTCCACTGATTTTTTCATACATTTCTGCATAATTAAACGGTTAAGATGTAAACAAAGTCATTCACGGTGGTTTACCGTGAAATGCTCTGTTAAAGAGAAACAAATGGCTGAGAGTCAGATTTCTTCACAGTGGTGGTGATAGGAACCAGATGTCTGAAGTGTTTAATGCTTTTAAGAGCTCCCTCACACAAAATTATTCAAAAAAGTTTGATAGTTTTGAGTTTATGTTTTGGCCTACAATATACTTTAAATACATTTATGGCAGTGAGACATGCAGTAGCCAAAGAACAGTTTTTACAGATTAACTGCTATTTCACCATACATTACATATAACAACTCATAACATGTGTAGGTTCATTGGTCATTTTGAATAGTAATAATATGGCTATATTTGCAGACATCACAGTCCCTGGTTACTATCAACACCATTGTAAACAAACCTGAGTACATAGTAAACAAACCTGAGTATGTAGCTCAAGTTTCTCTAAAATGTAGCATTTCTCAATAAATGATCGGAATCTGATTGTTTACATCTCAATGACTGAATTCTGCAGAAATTTGGCGTAAAATTGGTGAAATTGGTGAAATTCCACTCAGTATCCCTGATACTTCAAGGTACTGGCACTTAGGAATTTGAGAGAAAACATTTAGCATCTAAAATCTGATTATTAATCTGGGATGTTTAGTGTGGGGGAATGAAATTGCCTCTCACTATCAAAGTCTAGACTGTTAATCTGATGATATAGCCTCACTAAATGCTTCTCACTCTTTGGATGAACACTGGATGAACATATGAACCAAATGCATGTCTTCCAATAAAACTCTTGAAGCCTGGGGCCATGCTAAGGTGTTAACAACACACCAGACACCACAATTTTAGAGAAGTAGTCAGCTCACGGAAAATGGATTTGTTTAATAAACATTTAAGACAGTGTCCCTAGAATAAACCAGAAACATTTTAGCTAGCAAAATCTCAGACTGTTATGGAGCCCATAAGGCACATGTGTCAGGATCCAGTCCTTGCAGGCCAAAACACTGCAGACTTCAGCACACTGCCTTATTAAACACACCTAATTCAGCTCATCAGCTAATTAGCAAGGCCTTCATGAACTGAATTCAGAACGTTAGATGAAGGTAAACACTAATCTCTGCAACACTTTGGCCCAGAAGGTCCCCAGTTTGACATCTCTTCCCCAAGGTGACATGGGGATTATTTTTTAAGGTGTGACCACAAATTACTATATTGAGGTCACAAATGAAAATTTTGAGGCCACGAGTTACATGCAGTACATGTGGTCTCAATCTAGCTATTTGTGGCTTCAATACATTTTTTGTGGCTTCAATATAGTAACGGATGGCCTCATAATAGTAAATTATGGCCTCTATCTAGTAATTTGTGGCCTCAATATAGTAAATTGTGGTCTCAATAGTAACTCGTAGCCTCAATATTAACTAGTGGCCACGCCTTATTAAAGATAGTCACCATGCCACCTTAGGGGCTCCGTAGATTGACTGATGTTAGCATTCTTAGCTAGTGTTAGCTAGCTAACATTCGGAGGTAAAAGGTCGACATTATGTGCCGGTTATAACGGTAATTTAGAGCTGCAAAGCACCTGATTTAACTGAACCACAGGTTTTCCCGATAGCCTGAATTATACGCGAATACTATATTATTGTATTTTTACATAAGATGCAGACCTTAAGACCTCTGCAGTGTGTTCAGGTAACTTACAGCTGTAAATCCAGGATAATTTAGGTCTATAGCTGCATTTTTAAGGTGCGCTCAAAACACTCCGAATGATATAACTGTTAGTCTTGATTTGGTTTATCTCTAAACTTGTTGAATAATCATATATTTCCCCACAGTAACACTTTAACTGAGACATTTGAGCTCTTTTCTCTTCTTACCGTGTCGGCTTGAAACAAGTTGTTGTCAGGCGTTGCTAAGCAACTCAGTCACAGCCTTTCGAAGTACGGAAAGCGAAGAGGGCCAAACTTGTGTCATGTCGATACTCATTGTTATGTATATGGCAATTTGGACAGAGGAGAAAAGGAGGGACTGAAGGAAAAAAAGCTCAGATCGAAACCAATCTTGTTTAATTACACATCAATATTTTAAAAAGGCATCAGGAAAAATAAAAAACAGAAGACATATTAAACCAAACCCCCCCCCAACTCCAAAATACAACCAAAACACAGAAGTATCAGATCTTATATTTTCAGTATTTAGTTTGTCCACCCTTCGCCTTTATTACAGTTTCCAGTTCTGGAAAGAAACACTTGTGGATTTTTTTTCATACCTGAATAAAGAGTAGAGCTTGATTCTACTATCTGATTGTAAATAAATAAAAATAAATGAGACGGTGGTCTTTTTACTAGCTAAGCACTGTATTTCTTCATAAGATTAATTCTAGGACAGAAAGAACAAATACAGAAGCAACAAAAACAATTTCATAATTAAAACAAGTTGCTCATGTTCTTTAATGTACTAACTAAGTGCCTCGGTCGAATAGGTGATGATGGCATACTCTGAGGTTGTACTTAATTTCCTGCTCACTTCCCTGGGGTGGACATGCAGTCTGTCAGCAGAGCGGCAAGCATGTAGGCGAGATCCTCCTGCTCCCTCCTCTCTCCACCTCTGCACACACAGGAGCAGTAAAATCCATTACTTCACACATTCGTAGGTCTCTCTAAGACCTGTGGAGAATAATATATCATCTGATCAAACCCTTATAACAATGAATTCATCTTGTCTTACGAGTCTGTGATCCCGGGGGGCTTGGCTGTGGAGGCCCGTGAGCTCTGGAATGCTGGACCCTCTCACAGAGATCACAATGTCAGCGTAAGGGACCTCATGATCACTCTGGCAGTCTGAAGCAAAATAGTAAAGTAGCATTTAGTGATCACCAGCTATCCTCAGCTGCATGGTAGGTGCATTTAACAGGTGTTCAGTTATGGACATTTGTGTGCTGGACACTTATTTTAATTAACTTCTTATCCCAGGCTTATTCAGTTATTATTATTAGGCCTTATTATTCAATTAGTAATATAATAATTCAGTTACCACTATGAAACTATTATATGAGTTAAAGACTTATGCGAGTTGAAGCGTGGGCAGAGGAAGAGTCAGGTGAGGTCATTACCTCACCTGACTCTTACCTCACATTAGGTAGATTTATTTTAACCAAAACGGCAACAACACGGCACTTTAGTGTAATAGCTGCTATAGCAAAATGACAAAAGACACATAACAGTGACACCAACTTTTTATGTTCCAGCTGTTCTTCTCTCACTACCCTTCTCCTCCCCAGAAGCCCCCCCCCCAACACTACACACTATATCCGGCCCCGCCACAGGACAAAAATCCACCAGAGAGAAGCATTTTTACCCACAGAAACAGAAACACAGGTGTGCTCCAATGCCACAATAGTTTAAGAGGTTCAGGGCGGTTAAAAGGATTAAAATAGCATATCTTTATGTTTTACTTCAAAGGAATACATCAGAAAACAAACAGTGAATAAAACAATCACCTTGTACTACGGGCTTGAGGACTGTGGCTTCATTTTTGATTCTTGTGCTTTAAAAAGTGAAGATGTTAGTGAAGGTTTATCATTGATGTATTTCAGAACAGTTTCATGTATATCAACTCTGTTTATATAAATTCAGAGTTGAAAGATTTAGAAAGATTTTAAAAGATTTACTTACTTCTCATAAATTACAGCAGATGAATCCTCTGAATCGGACAAACTGCGTTTCCTTTTGTAACACAGGAATATCAGCAGAAGCAGAAGCATAAATGCTGCAGACAGTGTTATAGCTGCTAAGACCCTGATCCACACAAATTCATCTGTGTTGGAAAAGACTGAGTTATTTATTTTAGAGTATGAGTTATTTTCATGGTATATTTTTTAGGTGCCAAGCACCTCATGGACTAGCGGTTTACAGAAACAGTCTGAAATCTCTGTCTGTCACCATGACAACTTCAGTTAGGACTGAATTTAAGACAGTAGCTATTACAGAATCACAGCTCCTAATTTCATGATCTAATCCTAACTCTAGATCAAAAAAAATAATACACAAACATCCTAACTGGACAAAATTTCCTAAATTCTGTCCTAACTTTAAGATGTCCAAACGTCTGTTTTAACCTTTCATTTCTACTGTTAGCCATTCTGTTAAAATAAACAATTGAATGTTGTTGTCTTTAGCCAACTGTGACAGACAGAACAACCTTATTATAACTACCAAAACATTTACTCATACTGCAAAGTGGTGCTTTCATTTGTGATAGCTTTGGTAAATTGCTGTGATTGGTCCAGCATGGTGCGACACAGTTGCCTGCATCACTGCACAGTGCCCATAGTAGTGGTTCTTTTTATGATATTTACAACAGCGTGTTGGGTAGTAGTGTGTTTTTGTTTTGTTTTCTCATCATTTGAAATATACTTTTTTAAGAGACAGCTCCATTCACTCATTCACTCTCTCGTGTTTAGCAGACTGAAGATCCCCCACAAGGGGGAGCTAGCAGCAGTCAAATACTTTTTTGAGGCTTCATAAGAGAAGTGCTTGGCTTTAGTGACACTGTCTGTTATTTTCAATCATTTACAATAAAAAATCAGCTCACCCTCTTTAATGACTTCTATACTGACGGTGATCCTCTGGCTGGTACAAAGCTGTTGTGCATAGCATGTGTAGCTTCCTCCATCCTCCTCTGTAATCTTATCCCATTGTAGCAGAGACTCAGCGCTTGCTTTTGGAAGGGTGCCTTGATCCTTCGTCCACTGGCCCCCACATTGTGTGACAGTGGAAAGACATTTCAGTTCTAGTTGGGTTCCCACTGGCACTTTGATGGAATGTGATGACATCACTTCAACTGGGTCATTTTCCTCATTCCTGTAAATCACCACCTTCATAGACACATCTAAAACACATGAAAGCAGCTTACAGTGCTATACTACATGTTTAAAAAGTAAAGGGAATAGTTCGATCTATATAGAACTATGAGTTCTATATAGAACCATTTAATGCCTACTTAGTTCTTTGCGTAGTGAAATGGTTCTTTAGACTGATGGAGAATGTGTTGTATATGGTTCTATATATCTATAACCTTTTTTAAAAATGGTTCTGCATAGTACCAAAAAGGGTTATTAAATTGTTACAATGTAAAGCTCTCCTATTGAATAGAACACACTTTTTTGATGCTATATAGAACCCTTGAAAAACCATCTTTTTAAAGAGTGTACTAGCTGATTTATTGTATGTTCAAATCAGTTGAATAAACTCCTAACAGTTAAGATTCTACATCCTTGAGCTTCCTTAGTAGGTCTTGACTTCGAAGTACAGTTGTGCGCAAAAGTTTGAACACCGCCGTTGAAATGACATGTTTTGTTGATTTTATAACTGAAAATAAGTTAGCACTTCATCAGCAAGAACAAACTTAAACAAGACCTGCACATTTCTGTGGGCTATTTTTTTATTTATTTTGTTTACATAACTTTTGCACAGGCCACATGTTTTTTTTTTTTAGTTTTTAAAATTAGCAGATAAACAGTAATTGTGTATTAAAATGTGCAGAAGTGTGCTTTCTGTAGAGGATATGAACTTGTTTTCACAACAAACATCTTCAATGAGGGACATTCAAAATTTTGCTTTCCAGGAAAAAACTTTGATTGATGCAGGACCTTCACATTATGTGGAGCTTTTTCAAAGAGGTCATACTTCATTTGAATGGTCCCCTCATACTTAACAAACCATTTGGTGATGTTGCATTGATAATCAACAACATTATGGTTAGGGTTTAGGGTTAGGAGCACATTTAATAAACTCTTTCACACTGAACTTGAAGTTCAGCTGCATTCAATAGATATTTAGTTGAATGTCACTTATAGACAGACTGAGCATTTGCAAAGCATCTACAGTGGACTATCCAAATAAAGTTTTATCTTTAAAGATTTTTCACATTCACACATCTGATTTACAAAAGTGGTAAAGAACCATCCATTGAAAGGTTCATTATGGAACCAAAAGTGGTTCTTCTGTGGCACCGCTTTAAAGAACCCTGTTAATTTTTCAAAAGTATACGTGGTGTAACTGGGCTCAAACTAACATTTTAGAAGAGACTGCTGTGGTGAATAGTAGTGGTAGCAGTATCTCAATACATGACGCCAATGTGTAGCTGTGTGTGCTAATGCAGTTTAGACTTACCTAAAGGCACTGTATGAGGGGTGACTGGTGCTGTGGTCTTATCTACGCCAAACATGACCATAAATTAGTTCAAATACACCCCTTACATCTATCTCATTACCAGTATGAGCAGTCTTAGGCTCAGAGATTCCTACCTTGGATTAGCAGCGCTATTAGCCGCTCTGTTTTCAGAGGAAGATGCTGGTCATCATTCTTCTCAGAGACACATGAGTAGTTGTACAGGGTCTGCTCCAGTGTCAGATTACGAGTGGTCAAGCGTACAGTGCACATGTCTTCCCCCTGGATGTCTTTTTTCTCCCAAAGACAGCTTCCACATTTTGGCTTATCTTCCCATTTCCAGTGACCACGAATAAACCCAGAGGAGCAGTTGTAGGTGCAGTCTAAGGTAAGAGGCTCTCCTAGTCTTGCTTTAATAAGTTCTGGTGTTTCTGCAGTCTTCCTGCTCACAGCATCTGTCAAAGGCCAGTATATTAAACATCACATCATATACTCACTAGAAAAGTGCAACAAGGCCCAGAAGTAATTACCTTTGATCCCAGACAGAAGCAGCAAAGCCATCTGAGTCAGAAACAACATGTTTTGGCTTTCTTGTAAGGCTTCTATTAAACCCGTTTCTGGAGAAGCTCACAACTACACTTGAAAGGAGCTAAAGGAATGTGTGAACACACTGTTGAGATTGAAAATAAAGGAAGCTCCTCCTTTTTGAGGTTTTGCTGAGCACCTGCCTCCAAGGAATGAGAGGAAGTAAAGAACCATGATTGTATGTTAGGTGCAACTCTTAAAATGTGGCTGCCTCATGCATGAAAAGTGGGTTAACAGATATTGTGAAGTCTTTTTTGATTTATTATTATTACTGTCATTATAGCTTTACTGGTAGGGTTTAATGATGCGTAATTATGTCTGTTGTTTGTATACTGCATTTTGTATGATGGTATGAAGTTCCGATGGAGATAAAGCAGATGAATACTGCCCATAAAATAATAAATTGCATGAATTTGATTATTTCACAGATTTCTGTAAAATTAGGTAGTCAGCATACAGTCATGTGCAAAAGCTTGAACGTCCCCGTGGTGTTTTAGTACTCAAGACCATAAATTAACTATGATAACAACATAATTTGGACCTCAGGGTGAGGTGGACATGTTTAAATAAAATGGCTGCCCGTTGAGGATCTATATGATCTTTCCATGATGCTAAAGTGGGTATTATCTGTTTATTGATGTTCATCCAAAACTCAGACTCCTCTGAGGGCAGATCAGAATGTTATTATTACTGTTTTACTTAACAATATAAATGAATGTTTGTTGTTTGGTTTATATTCAGTTGAGTTTAGGTGGTGACTCTGAATGAGTTTCAGAGAAGAAGAGAGAGAAGAACAAAGCTGCAAAGTTGGACTAAGACTATAATGATAATAATAATTCATAATGTGTTTAGCCTATTTTACTACATATGTATTAAAATATAATATTATTCATTAATATATATCGTGTGTAATTAATGAGAATAAATTTACAATGAACTACAAATGAATTTTATTATTATTATTTTTTTATGTCCTGAAAAAAATCTTAACCTGGTCTTGTTCTTGTCTCAATCTAGGGCTCTCCTGGTTTTGGTCTTGACTCAGACTTGACTCGTACTCACCTCTAGTGGTCTTGACAACAACACTACACCCCTGGTCAAACACATCTAGGGGTGGGGGAAAAAATCAATTCTTAGATGCATCGTGATGCGGAAGTGAATGGTTCTGAATCGATTCACAAATGTCAAAAATCAATTTTCTAAATATTTAATTTATAACATAATGTTGACGGAGCGCAAAAGGCGGAACTTGGAAGTGCGGAAGTGCAGCGCCCGGACAGTCTGTGGCGGCACATAACAAAAACACTACTGGATGAGCGAGAAATCCGACTGGCACCCTCTTCATTAACAGCCAGGTTAGGTCAGGAGTCACAACCCAAATGTTAAGAATAGACAGTTTGTCCTTTCAACAAAAATCAAACCACCTTGGGAGCCGCAACACTTAATGTCCAATATGTCTCAGTATGTGATAATGTTCTAGTATAGGCAAAAAAATATAAACAAAAACACAGATTTACTTCGCTCTGCTTTAAGCTTCGCCTACAGCCGCTTTCCTCCCATCTCCGCCCAAAAACCTTTCCTCAAAAGTTGAATAGTTTATTGTAAAATGTCTCTCAACGTTCGACTGTTTTACGAGGCTGAAGTCGCTTCTCATTCGCCAGCTTCTTGTTCGAATTTTCCTGTTCCATCTTAACTTCTAACTGAGGCGCTGAATGTAAATGTGGCACCATTTAAGGTGGAACAGGAAAATTCGAAAGAGAAGTGACTTCATCTTCACAACTTTTTAGTGTTTGACACTCTCTCGTTGCAGATTTAATGTACCAGGAAACCAACTGCAGTGCTTATACATGTGAATAATCTTAAATCTCTCTCTTTGCCTTTTTGTTAGCTACTAGCCAGGCGAGACTGCGTTGCTAGGTGACCTGCAGTCTGCACGCCAGTTCTCAGTTGTTGAGACCAAGGCCTTTCGCGCAATGTTGCACAGAGATATTTTATTGACACAGCGATCCCCCCACTCTCTACAGCGAGACCAAAACCGAAGTTATAAAATCACTAAAGAAAACGGGTAGGATGGCTGTAACATGTGCTGTGTGGACATCCATTGCTACTGGATCTTATTTCACCGTAGCAGCACATTTTATCACAGATGAGTGGCAGCCAGTGTCTCATGTGCTCCAGACAAGAGCACTGAATGAGAGCTTTCTAGTTCACTTACCACATCACTTCCGTTTGTTTTATTAATAAAAGATATTGGAAGTAAATTCATTATGGATCATTACAGATACTTTGCTTTAAAAGTACCAAGTCATCACACAGTAAGAAAAAAGAAATCCTGTATAGAAAAAAAAGGTGCATCAAGATGCATTGATAATCGTTTTGTAATCACATCACAGCCCTCTGAATTGTAATTGAATCAAATCGTGAGGTGCCTAGAGATTCCCACCCCTAAACACATCCTCTACAGAAAACTAGCTTAAACCTGACATTTTTATGCAACTTTAACAATTATTACACAACTGTACGATTCTACACAATTTTTTGCTATGTGCTGAATTCAACATATTGAAAAAAGATTAAATATAAAATGTGCAATAACTTTTGTACAGGCCGCGTTATATTTTATTTTTTCAATGTGTTAAATTCAGCAAATAAACAGTAATTGTGCATTACAATGTGCAGAAGTGTGTTCACTATTGGATGCGTTAACTTAAAAAAAAATCAAGTAAATTTCATTTGGCCAGGGGTGCCCAAACTTTTGCACGCAACTGTACACTTCAAGGAAGAACCTTTAAATGCTGCAGTGCAAAAGAATTGCCCTCCCCAAACGGAAAATAACTTTCAATGAACAACACTGACAAAAGAATTTGCTTGTTTAGTCGTTTTGTTATGTCTCAAAAAAGTTGATGCTCTTAAGGCCTCTTCATGCACCAGCATCTAACATTAACTTAAATGTTTACATTAGAACACCTATTTGGATTGAATTAACTAACTAGCTGTCTGACAAGTCACTGGTCAAATAAGGTTACATAGATTTCTAATAACACCTGCTGTGTGACATACTTATTTTGGTGAAATACATATTTTGATATATTATTTGAAATGTATTGAAATGTATATGTATTTGAATCATTTCAATCTTTTGAGAACTGTAGAAATTGCATCTTCAAGTCAGTCATGGGTGTACAATTGTGTCATCTTCTCCACGACAGGCTCCATAAAGATTTTAGGGGACCTAGTTGCGTTCTTCAGCGTAGTACACAATATTAATAAAAGTCTTCATTTTTCAAGTCAACATTTCATAATAAGATCATGAGATCAGGCCTCAGTGACTACAGTTAAAAATTAGCCAGATGGCTAACACAGGTACTTTCACTTTACATTGATTTATGTGTATTGTCCCTAATAAATAAACAAACAAACAAACAATACATAAATTAAGGCCTGGTTCCTTTTGATGAGTAATGACTAAGTGCTTAAGCCACAAAGCCATAAAGACATTCTTTCCAGTGTATAAATATTGCTCAGAATGTTTCTTTTTTCCTCTAGATAAGATCAGTGGTGATGAATCAATCGTGTCTTCCTCTGCAGTTTGATTAATTAATTGGCTGAATGTGGTTCTGCACCTGATCGCAGCAGTGGAAACTTAGCTTAGTGCAGTTTGCACAAGAGCAGATGAGCCAAGCTGCACCATGCCTTTGCAGTACCATCTGCTAGTGGGCGAGAGACAAACAGGAAGCATCCTGCCTCTCTTTCACCACAAAAAAAAGCATACGTTCCCAGTGTCACTTTACGAGTCCCTGTTTCTGTTTCACCTCTGTGTTTTTTGTGCATCATGGTACATTCAATTGAAATGATTTGTTTTTAGAACCCTATTGTTCTGTTGTAAGTGTTGTTTTGTTGTGTTGTGAACATAAGACTGTGGCCCAGGCATATGCTTGAATCCATATAAATATAAAAATATGGTTACATAACAGGATTAAAAAATAGATTTGAAACTGTAGCACCCATGCTGAGATAGAGCGAGGCGGTCATTTTAGAAGCAGCACTGTCCACCTCCAAACCCAGCGAGCATCTGAATGGCTACAGCAGGAATCAGGTTACGTGGTTTGAATTTCACTCTCAATTATTGAGGCCTCTTTGTTTTCTGATAAACCCTGAAGGTCCACAGGTTCATACAGTGGAGAACGCTCCGATGGGGAAACTGCTCAACAACAGCATCAGCAGTTTGAATGTTATTCGCCATGTACAGATGGTTTGGTCTCCTGCTCTTCTGGCAGGCCTTGAGCAAACACCTGATGATGCACAGTATCCTTGTACCAGGTAGGCACCAGCAGTGTGGGGCTGAGAAATCTGTGAATATAGTATTGTAATATTTGACAGACACAGTACTAGCTGAAAGGCTAAAAGTATCGACTGACTAAACAGGTTTTAACATTTTTTAAGTCATTCAGAGTGACATTTTTGGAAATGCTCTGTTCTACAGAAACTTATCCAGTCAGAATTTTTCAAGTAATGGTGACTGAACAGATGGAAGAAAATGTATATATATATATATATGTCAACCATATATGTAAAACATATAACGGTTTCGAATGGTTACGTATATGTTGCCTGATGCCTACAACATATTTTTAAAATACAATCCCTGCTGAAAAAAAACATGAATTTGATGCTAGTCTAAGCTGGTTTATGCCCTGTTATGTTGGCTCATGTTGGTCTGGTGCTGGTACCAGCATCCAACACACAACATATGCTGGTTTTGCTGGTCACCAGCTGTGCTGGTCTATGCTGGTTTCTCTAGCAGCATTTATGGCTGAGAGGTCCATGCAGGATTACTTCTATTTTACCACTGTCAACATATATATAACATATATACAAAAACACATGTAGATTAGACAGACTGGTTGTTTGGATAGTAAATAAAATGGTTTTAGTTGTAATCCCTAGTTCCTAGCAGCACCACTGTTAAGAGATCTGAGCTGGTAAGTTTCTCCACAATGAATCATTTCACTACAAACCTGATGTTAACACAATGTTATTAGACAGCTTAACACGCTTGG